TACAACCTCACCCGACTTCCCATTAAGAACAGCCCGGTGCAGAGTCATGAGGACTAGCGTGCCAAGCCGGACCTGGGAATCAAAGAAGGTCATTCAGTCAACAAACCCAGAAAGAACAACAACGGACAGGAATTGAAACGTGTCAAAGAGCCAAAGTCAACGCGACAAACAAAGGCAATTCATTCCCAACACATCCAATTGCAAAGGCACCAAAGACACGCCACAGACACCACAAAAACCACACAACAAACACCACCCAAATCCCCCCACCACACAAAAGAAAGACAACACACAACCAAAGAGCAACATGGAACACAACCGAAGAACAACAGCGAGGTACGAAGGGACACAAAGACACAAGACACAAAATACTACGAAAGAAAACAACAGCACGAACACGAAAGACACGAAAGGGACGAAAAACAAAGGAGACAACAGCAGAAACGACAAAAGACACAAAACACAAAGTACGAAAACCACGAAAGGAACACAAAGACAAAACCAAAGAAGCAAACAACACCAACACAAAACACAAAACACCACCACCGACAAGCTCCCACCGGACATAAACATCCGACAATGACGTTGAAGCAGACACCAGCATGAAAGCTCCTCCTACCAACAATGACGTTGAAGCAGACACCAGCATGAAAGCCCCCACCACACCCCCTTCCTACCGGGACATAAAGTCCAGCCGGGACAAGATTAAGCAACCGCTGGAGACAGTGGCACGGGTCCCCCACCGACAAAAGCACCACAATGACAATAGTAACAACCCTTTGACAGAATGCGCCCAGCGACATTGACCATCAAACCACGAACCGGGCAACAAAACCACCGCGCGCCACGGCAAACCAAAACCTACCCTACAAACACCGACACATACAGTAGCCGGCTAACCATGGCCAATGAAGTTTCTTTCCGGGTCAAAACAGGGGATTTATATTTACATCTCCTTCCATTACCTCCTCACGACTCAGTCTGTCTTATGAATGGCCTTGCTTCGCAAAATTGTAATGGAATTGCATTCCGCCATTTGAATGGCAATTCCCTAATTGACGCGTTGGGTTGCATGTTACCATTGCGCATATCCTTCCCATGGTCATCTACCTAAGTAATGACCCAGGGGGCCAGCAGATATGAGATCCCTCGTGCGAGCTCTCCGTCAGAGATGAACAAGAAAAGGGACAAAACGGGTAAGGAGTCCAACAACACAAAGACCATTGCCTTGAAGAAAACCATCACAGAGACGGTCAAACCGGGGACATTTCATTATGGTTGCCAACCCACAAATCTTACAGAGGAGGTTTGTGCCAGGAGGGGGGTGATGGAACTACCGAAGGACCTCACCCAGCCGAAAAGGAGAAGAAAGGCCACCTTGAAAGGATGACGGGAAATGTCCCAAGTAGAGAAGAACTTGCTGGCTGCCCAAGGCCTAGCGCGCCTAGCGGATGTCAACAAGATGGGCAAGGGCCAGGGCCAAGGCAAAAAGACATCTAAGTCCAAGTCAAAAACTAAAACTGCACAACCAGTCACCCCAAACAAACGCAGACTTCCACTCAATGCTACTACCACCACCGGGGGCCCCACCAAAAAGGCAAAACAGCCACAATCCACAGAGAAACAGTCACCACCGTGCAAAGACGACAGCACAAACACAAAGAAAACACCACAAAAGAGCAACAGGACCACCACCCAATACTCAGCAACATCAATTTAACATGACCACCTAACTAGCAAGGTAAATCACTTCGGCCGGAATGCAAAGCCGTTCGAAAAGTAAAGACCCACAGTCATTGAAGACCACCCGCCAACCAGTCCCTGACTGATTTTGGTGAGACAACACACGGTCGCATATCCCAGAGGCTCACGCGCCCAAGAGACTGGTGGGTCACAGCACCCACCAGTAAGGAACTGGTCAACCATCCAAGATCAGACAAGACTCCCCGAACCGATCAAGCCAAAACATGATAACCTTACAGTATGCAAAAACACAACCTGGCCCAATCGACCCCACGCGTGAAGCAATCGGTCTATACGCCAGCCAGCACGGACCGCCGAACACGCAATCATCAACCCCCACAAAGAATGCTTGACCGCAAACAGGGCAAATCACCAACAGTGCCATTCTACGCTGCATCAGAAGTCAGATTGGCCCAAAACTGCTTAAAAACATAAAAGAGCGACCGAAGGGACACGGCTGGGACACCATGGCCCGGCACCCTCAGGGGCCAGGCGTCGAAAACACGTTCCGTATGCTGAGTTGAGCGCACGGCAGACAACAACTCTGCCATTGCGTAGCAAGCCTTAACTCCCCCAATTTGAAAGCACCGCCATTTAAAAACCCCCTAAATCATCCACACCAGAACCCCATGCAGCCCAGTGCAACACCAGAACAGAACCAAAGACCACCTCAACACGGCAGAACACCCAAAAGCACAATGTGGCGGTTATTCTCACCACCAATAACAGCGGAACATTCACAAACCGCATACACGGGAAATGGCACAACATGATCACAATTAAGGACTCGACACAGGGATCATGACTGGAACCGCACCTACCCGCCCTCTGCTGACCCGCCCTTACTACACCCACGCACCCTACACCTAGTAACCCCTAACCGACCCAACCCAACCCCAACCCCCCCAACCCTACCTTGATCCTAGCAGCAGCAAATCCCCACATACCCGAGCCAACGACCAAACCCGACCACGTCATCCCTCCACCTACACCCCTAACTCCATTGACGCACCTACGACAGACAATACATCCGCTGTACTCTATCCTCATCCATTCCATGAAATCCTCAGTATCCTGTCCTACACTGAATAAGCTTAATTATAACAAAAAAACATTGGATCCCATCCACAACACGTTCACGGCAACATCAATGGTAGGTCCTTCACTTCACATCAAAGGCCTTCACGCTCCCTTCACGCCCATCTCCGCCACTCATCCTCTCATGCCTCTCCTCCACCGCGTCTTCGTGCTTCCTTACGTGGCTGCCCTTGGCCCTTCAATCCTCCCTTTGCACCTTACCGAGTGCCTGAAATGTACAAGTACCTTCAAACTCGCTTCCTGTTGCGCAGATTGCCTGATCCTACCACTAAATTTCTCTTCGATAAGGTTGGTCAGGGCCCGGATGGCTTCCATCGTAGCCTCCTCATGTTTGTACTCCTCCTGCATCTGCCTTCCATCCTCTTGGTCCTGGTCTTCCTGGCCGCCAAATGCATTCAGAAACTAATTCATTTCGGGCACAGCATTTGGTAATAGGGCGGTGTCAGTGTTGGGTAGGGTGGTACGATCAGCATCATTATCATAAGTGGTGGCAAAGAAAGTATCAACATGATGGTAGAGTGGCTTCATTTTGCACCATCAAGCCCGTTTTGCTGCAGATTTCCTCCAGCTATGCCAATCCTTTCCAGCTTTTTAACATGGGACATCGGCACCGAAAGCTTCCAGGTGCTCAATGCTGGCTCGCGAGTCCCTCGTATCCCGCTCACCAAAGCCTCAATCAGAGGAGACTGCCGGTGAGAACCTCCACAGCCCTGCCCAGGTCTGAGTCCTCGGCCAAGTCCGGATCCTCAGGAGTCGACTGGAAAGTGCCTCCGGGGTGGCTGTGCAATCGCCATGGGAAGTTGGCACGGCCTTTGTACCTGCTTCTCCTGTCCTCTACCCAAATCACTTCACTCTCGGTCGGCCATGAATTTTTCCCGCCAACTCTGTTCGCGCCTCAACCACGGGGCCCCATTCGCAGTCCCATCTTGTCCCAAATTAATTCTCTCTCTCTTGTAGTCACCGCAAAGACTTGGGGCTTCATATCTTTAGATTGCTTGATATAGGAACATCCCCTCGGCCCCAGCCACAAGATCGCTCCTCTCTGCTCTCATCCTGGGCTGCACTCCATTCAATACTTCTTCCCTGAATGAGAACTCAGCATGGCAAATGCTTGGCAAAAGAAACGAGTCTCAACTGAATGACGCCATACCTGCAGCAAAAACTTGACAACCCACCACTAGAATGAAGGAGACTTCTCGAGTGTGCTAACCTTTGAACTCCTCAAACTCTGGTTCTCTGCTGATGCTGTCGACCCTCACAAAGAACACGTCATCCCACAACTTTCTGTGGAGCGGACCAAATTCCCTGCCACAAACCTACACTCAGTCCGTATGGGAACGTGTTAAAACGGTATCCTGCAACCATCGACACAAACTTGAAACAGGCAACTGATAGAATAGTGATTGAACAAGCTCGCCCGTGCCTCCAGCCCCACCCTCACCCCCATTGCGACCTAATTGAAAAATCTGCACCACCCCGCCTTTTCGGCACCGTCCCATTCTCTCAAAATGGACCGGGGCGCAAATGACAGCGTGCCAACGAAAAGGTGTCAACTCGGGCTCGAGCGCGGAACAACGTCGGTCTGTAACGAAGGTTGTTGCGAGTACAAGGCCGCCCAGCTGGCTTTTGTTCCGGAGAAGAACTCCTGTCAACCAGGATTAGATAATTCATGTCTGCATCACCGATAATCCTCTCAGTGGAGCGTCCATGGACAAGTGGCTGCCAAACACTCGGTTGAAAGCATGAAAACATCGCTTGACTGTTCGCATCTGACTGACACCCTGTGTCTAGCGTCATCTGTTGCTTCACAGGACAACCAATGACTCCGCTCCACCATTGTGGTGGATCCATAACAATGGCGACAAGAAACAACTGCCTGTCACACTTGAAAAGTGCCGCCCTCTACCGGTAAAGACGTCCTACCTCAACGCATCAGGGGAGGATAAGCCAACTCCGTTGCTAAGCGTCACTAATACCTGGGACACGGGCCGCAAAACCACAACTTTCACGTCTGCCTTTCCTTCAATACCCTGTTGAATAAGCTGCCGCCCTCTAGAAGTGAAATCCATTTGGCAGATGTCCCTAGATCCTGCCACGGCCGTTTCGATATCCCCGGCGTTAGTCCGCGTCCGATCGCAGTGATGCCGCCACACCATTCCTCAATACTTCATTTTGAATCTGTAGTCTCTGAGCCCTTTGAGTATATTCTCAAATGACCTTTTGCTGTGAGGGGCCTCCTTGTTATATCCATTCTTTCCATCCAACTGCGGGCGAAGAATGAAATTATCCTCCACAAATTCCAGTGCTGTGTTGGCGGTGGTCATTGTGTCAAAGACAACCTTTGTGGGTTTGGTCTTAAGTCCCTTAACTATCTCGCCACGGCCTGCTTTGCACCACGAGTGGAACTCTGCAACATACCCATTGTAGAGTTTTTTGTTGCCATCTTTCCTGCCATCTGCCTCAAACTCTGCAGTCCTGTGGCTCACCGATGCCCTCTGGGTCTCAGTGTGGACATATCCACCAACATCCAGATAATCTGGCCCACCAGGCGGACTCGCCATGGTCCGTCTAAAGTCAAACTGAAAGATAAAGACCAAGACCGTACTTGCCAAAATGCCCTAGAACTCCCCAGCCAACCTCTACGGCACTTATGGATAGAACTGGGACTACGAAAAAGTGAACGCACCCTAGAGATATAGTGGAGGGCAAAGAATAATAGTCGACACGAGTACTGGGAACGTAAAGTTCTGAGACGTTTTGGTGCTAGGACTCTATCCCGGACAGTTTCGTCGAGCGATTAATTATAGATTTCGAGTGCTCCGCCGTGATGTTGACATGACAGGCAGTAGTAGCTGAGTGGAAGGTGGAGCCAACAGCAGGCCATCCCATGTGTGATCATATAATTCTTCTATTTAACCCAAGCCTTCCTGTAGGGTAGTGATTATCTTCGATTGTTGTGGATATGGAAAAACACTTGGGGCTCGTCCTGACCTTTCCCTGGATGCAACACACCTTCAGTTCCTCATTCACCCAAAACATTGCTGCCTTTGATAATGTGGCCATGTACTGAGGAACAGAACTAAATATCGACGTACTTACGAAAGCACCCCTTTTTTTCTTAGAAGGAAGCTTCGACTTCTGATACATCATGTGGCGCCATAATGAATGATAATGTTTATTGGCGGGAGACCTGTTGCCTATGTGACTTGGGTACTTAGGCCGATTCAAAATGCTGTCTAGAGCTAAATTTATTTCCTTACTTATGCACTTTCTGCCAGTACCGGGAGTCGTAGGTCGTACAGGGAATCCCCAAATTCCAGGTTTCTCCCAGGGATCGTACAAGGGAATCCACCAGCATTCCAGGTTTCTCCCAGGGAGTTGGCGGCAGTTGGGTGTCAGTTACCCGAGATCCGATCACTGTTACCAGTAGGGGGTTGGTGTGTTTCCGATGGGTGTGGGGGTGTTACCAGTCGAGTATGACTAGCTAGCTAATAGGGGTATCTGCTTCTACACTGAAACCTTTCTGCCGAGGTTACACAGCTCCGCTGGCTTAAATCAATCCAACATTATTATTGGTCCTTCCGTTCTTCCGTGGAGCTGCCAACAGTCCACGAGCAGGCTTTTTTTGTCAACGCATAAACCAGCTGAGCTGAGCAGGATTCACCTTTCCGCGAGAGACTTTTCATTCGGAACCCTGTGTTATCGACTTTGGACGTGGATCCACACGAATAAAGAAGAAGTCAGCAGTTGGATCTTTGCGGTGTCAACTTCTCTCCCCATTTTGTTTTAGCCAGGCACTTTTTATGGCTCTCCTCCAGGACGTAACAAAGAAACACACCACCACCGCCATGGCCGAGAAACCTATGCTAACGCCTGTTGTTACGGGCCAGGAAACTGCTGGAATGGTCTCTGTGACTGCTCCCATGGACCTCCAGGAAGGATACCAGCTCCAAGTCTCGGTGAACGGGCAGCAGAAGAATGTGACGGTGCCTGCTGGTGGTGTCAAGGAAGGACAATCCTTCCAGGCTCGGCCCGTGGCTGGAGCGAGCACTGGAGGTGTTGCTGCAGGAGGCGTTGTGCACAATATTCCTCAGGGCAAATGGCGAGACAACATTTGCGACTGTTTCAAGTTTGGTTGCTGCCATGCCATGTGCTGCCTTGGATTCTGCTGCGAACCCAGTAAGACCACACATGTCTACTAAATGCACCGAAGAAAACTCAATTCACGGGCCTCAATACTAACATTTCTCTCGCTTTTGTTACTAGTCTTGGGTGGTCAGGTGATGACCCGCATGAGTCGTGACTTTATGGGAGGTCCCGGCGCTCGCCCATCTGCCAGCAAGACATGCCAGATTGTGACTGGAATTTTCATTGTGGTTGCCATTGTTCAAGGTGCCCTTCGCGCTGTCCAGGGTGCCACAAATTGTCCCTATGGTAATCAAAGGTACAATGATGCTGGTGAGCTTTACATTCAATGCCCTGATGGGACCACGGAAACGCCAACATCTACCTTTCAGATTGTTGGACTGGTCCATGCCATTGTTGGATTCCTTTTTGCAGTCTACTTCTTCTTTGCTATCTGCCGTACGCGTGCTGCCATTCGAAGAAAGTACGAAATTAAGCCGGAATGCTGTGGGGAGGCCGAGGATTGTTGCTGTACATTTTGGTGCTCTTGCTGTACTGTAAGTGAAAGTGGTCGGCCCAAATATCTTTTTTCATTTTGTCTTGTACGAATCTGCACTCATGTATGTTGGCTGCCTTCTAGGTCCAACAAATGGCCCGTCATACGAATGACTATTCTACCTATGATGTCGGCTGCTGCTCTGGTGATTGTTGCAACAACCGTGGACAGCAGCCACAAGTTCCTGAGATTGAACCCTGAGTGCACCATGGTTTTCTATGACTAGTTAGATCATTGATTTATGGAATGTTTGGTATCACTGGAGCCCCCTGTTTGGATTGGATTGGATTGGATTGCAAAGAGAACAGTCAAAGTCTCTCTCAAGCAGGCAGCAGATCTGACATCTAATGTAGCTCTAAAGAAGTAGATGCCTCGAACCATTGGCTTGCTTTGATTAAAATACTAAGGACAGTGCAACAAGTCAAAGCACTGAGGAGTCGAGTCGACGGTGCTGTTGCGGTTACCATTTGGTAGAGTGGACATGCTCTGGCTTTGTGCGATCATCCAACGGGAATTGCTGAGGTCTTGTCATGGTGGCCATGGCTCGGACCAGGAGTGGATTTGGGCTCTGCTGGCTACTAGCCATCATGATGTAGTAGTGAAAACAGGCGAATAACACTGCTGCTGAGAAGTGCAGGCAAGTCGTGCTCTCGGCGGATGGGAACTGGTACAGTACATGTTACTCGGCTATTCCACGGTGGGATGCTTCCTTCCTCACTGACCACAATTCCAGTAATGCCCCGACCCCTTGCAAATTTTATGGGTGTAAACGGAATTTGGGCCAGTCACAGCAGGCAAAAGGAACACTCTCTTAGTCTTGTTCATGACTAATCAGTCTTGATTATGTACGGAGTTGGGGATTTTCAACTGTGAGCCGGTGACTATGCAAGGTGGATAGCTGGATCCCTCCCATTTTCGTGGACTTAACTCGACTCGACCCAATAGCAGGTGAAAGCATTAAGAGTGGTCCACCAAGCTTACAACCCATAAACCGGCAGCAACCATTTTGACTTCCTTCCTTGCTCCGTTCAAAGATTACGTGTTGCCTTCTCGCCTTCTCGCCTTCTCGCCTTCTCGCCTTCTCGCCTTCTCGCCTTCTCTTGAACTGCCAACAGTCTGCCAACAACCCCACAAAACGCTTCTGATCACACAAAGGCACACCATTGCACATACGGTAGAGCAGTACAAGCGATACAAGACCAGGCAGTTCAGCTCTATAACCAAGCTTTGGTCTCTATTCGTTTAATAGCGATCCACTTCGTGTATTCCGATCAACCACTATCCCACTTTTCGCCGCGCAGTCTTCGGAGTGAAGGCACCGTGCCAAGTATCTTTCTTCCGAGGTCTCTTACAATTCCCATTATAATAAGACATTGCATTGATTTGTTATTAGCAATCATGATGATGATCCAGAGGGCCGCAAATTGCTTTCGCCATGTTCTCAAGCCCAGAAGCTTGAACGGTAATAATTGTCCACGCTCCGCCGCCACCAGGTCATTTGCCTCCAGCAATGGACTGGCCGGTGATCGGCTGCCGGTGCTTCGGACACTGCTTGAGAATCGTCGGGAAGGTGATGCCCCACTGAGAATCCTGGAGACTCATTCTGGCCTTTCTGGATTGGTGGCAGAGCATGCTGTTGCCTCCAATGGCCAGAAATTTGATGGCATGTGGTCCAGCAGTCTGACGGCAAGTGCTGTGCGGGGTATGCCAGATATTGAAGTTGTGGATACAAGCAGCCGATTAGCACTGGTTCAAGAGACTCTCAATGTGACAACCAAACCAATGCTTTATGATGGAGACACCGGAGGTAAGACTATGCATACAACTAACGCACCTCTACGCTTCTTTGGAACTTTTGGCTGGTCTCAAAAGTAAGGTGCCACTACTTTCCTACAGGTCTGCCAGAGATATTCCGGTTCACGGTTCGTACATTGGAGCAGATGGGTGTATCAGCTGTCATAATTGAGGACAAGGAAGGATTGAAGCGCAACTCCTTGCTAGAGAACAGTTCCTCTCTTCATCAACTATGCCACATTGATGATTTTTGCGACAAGATTGAGGCTGGGCTCCAAGCTCGCCGATCCAATGACTTTATGATTTTTGCTCGCATGGAATCATTGATTGCAGGAAGACCCATGGAAGAAGCTCTATCAAGGGCCATGGCTTGTGTGGAAGCAGGAGCCTCGGGAGTCATGATTCACTCTCGTAAAAAGTCACCAGCAGAAGTCCTGCAATTCATGACCCAGTTCCGTACCATTCATCCAGATATTCCAATCGTGGTGGTCCCAACCTCATACAACAAAATTCATGACCAAGATCTGGGCCAAGCAGGAGCTTCCATCTGCATCTATGCCAATCAAATGCTACGAGCAGCAATTCCTGCCATGATGGGTGTTGCAGATTCTATACTGTCTCATTCAAGGTCCCATGAGGCCGAAAAGGATCTGATGCCAGTCAAAGCAATCACTAATCTTATCAACGACGAGGGAGTAACTTGGGACCGGAAAATGCCAGTGGAAGAGGACAAGAAACCCCAGGATGGTATGCAAGAAAGACTCAATCCTGACATGTTGAAGCCCCCCAAGTCGCTACACCGTGCATTACAGCACAACATCAATCATCACATGTTGCAAAATGGATTTAAAGGCAAAGCCTCCTTCTCTTCTGCAACACGGGATATCGACAACGAAAAAGAGAATGAGACGAAACCAATGCCGTCTTCTGGGGGTGCAAAAGCATAGGCTCTCTTTGTTACTTGACCAACAATGGCTCAGCACAACAGCGTTGTATTCTTGTAGATTGGGCGGGTTCTTGCACAACTGAGGTTGCGATCAATGATGAATTTACCAGTGTCGTGCCTTGGTACCAATATCAAGCAATCCAGCTCCTGTTTTGGGTTTCCGCTATGGTTATATATGCTATAATTTTGCTGCCACATAAAGTGTTTTCTGATACGTACGATGTAGGCTCCGTTCCATCCTCTTCTGCTGTCGGAAGCTCGAGCAACTGCAGCAAGACAAAACAATTACTAGCTAGCTTGAGCGCTGGCTAGAGCCACAGCACGGAAGCATTTTAAATTTTGGTACCCGTACCACCTGTAAGAGGGAGTGGGGGGAGCCTTTGAAGGGATCTGTCCGAAAAGGCTTTTAAAACGTCATAGCCTTGCTTCCTTTCGTGGCCGAGTTGTGTTTCAAAAGCACAAAGTAGTCCGTGTTTCCCAAAAGCTCCCAGTGTTTCGGAAAGCTGGCGGTGATTGTCTACTTGACTTGTACAGCACTCGAACCGCCGTAACGCGTACTGTAGTACTCGAATTTAGCTCCTACAGTTACTAGCTAGTAGAAGCGTCAACAAAAAACAAGGGGGGAATCTCGGAAGCGCAATCCAGCGACATCATCCTACGGTAGCTAGATATCCATCTCATCACCGGAACCTACCCAGCCAGCCCAACACACGGCCCTATTCATTGCCCTGCATCGACCGAACACGCACCAGGCCCAATTTACGTGTACGAACTCCGCACCAAGAATAGCTGTGAGTAAACGTACTGTAGTTAGTTTTGGTGACAGTTGCTAAATCGAATGAATGAATAACTCCTGGACCTTCTCCATCCCCCGATCCTGGCTCAACTCAAAGACCTACCGCAGGTCACTCTCTCAACAATGCCTCGCTCCCAGCAGCCTAGCCTGAAAGTTGCCAACCTTTGCTTTCTGCGTTGGGCACTTGAATGTTTCCAAAAACCAAGGATGACGTCACCCTCATTTTTGTTGAGGATCCTGTGTGCGTCGACCGCGTAGACACCAGAGTTGCGGACGAATCAGGATTCGAGTCGTGTATACGTCGAATCCTAATTAAATTTTGGAAGCGTTTTCAAAAATGCATTAGAGCTCAAAAATGAGCTCTAATGAGTTTTTGAAAACGCTTCCAAAAATTAATTAGGATTCGATTCATCCACGCTCAGCTCAACTCGTCATTCACTCATTCACTCCAAGGAAGAAATGCCAAAACAAGAAGAGACCAACTGCAAAGCGCAGGAGGAAGATCTTCAATAGCTTCTTCAATCATAGTACAAGGATGCTGTCAGTCGCAACACTATCCATTGTCATAGTAGCGCTATTAGGAGGTCGCGATATTGAAGCCACGTTCTTTCCTGGATCATCCAGATCTGCTTCCTTTCTCAACTCTCGTCATCACTTCAGGAAACATCCCATCGACATGCCTTCAGTTTCCGAGAAAGGCCGACCTCAGCAGGATGAAAAAGCCTTCTCTCCCATGGACATGAAGCCAATGCTGTCCAAAGATCTGAAACAACTCCGTTATGTGGGTTTGTTGGTTGATACCTTTGCTCGAGTGGGTCAACGCCGGCCACCGTCTCCCTCCAAGACAAAGCACGTTCGATTGATTGCCATTTCTGTATCGCCATACGTCGAAAAGGTTCGTTGGGGACTTGACTTGCTGGAAGCAGACGCAACGAGTCCAGTTTATTTTACCGAAGACTGCCATCCTCCAGGTTGTTGTGCGCTGTACACCGTGAAAGCATCTAACGATCAAGCGTCACAATCACCAATGATTGTTGATCCCGAGGGAAAAGTGCTGTGGGGTAGTGATGCTATCCTGCAGCACTTGTTTATTGATAACGAGAACACAGCGGTAGATTTGTATCCCAACGAAATTCGTGAAGATATTATCCAGTTCGAAAGGGACCTGGGACTCAGACTTGGCGCTAGTGCTCGCTGTTTGGCGTACAATTCATTGCTGGACCCTTCCAAGAGATACTACGAGACTGCCACCAAAGTCTTGTGCAACCACAGCCCATGGATAGAGAAATTAATGTACAAGATGTTGCTGTACAGCGGCAAGATTGCTGAAGTCATGAGCAAAACGCTCAACGTGTTTGATCCACAAGTCATTGAGAATTCCGAAGAGCAAGTCCGACAAGTCTTTGTTGAATTGTCCGAAAAGCTTGAACAAGCAAAGTCGGCTTCACCAGACAACAAAGAAGTGTATCTCATGGACACGCCAACGAAGCAGTATGGATTCACTGCGGCCGATTTGAGCTTTGCCGCCTTGGTGTATTTTCTCCTACGTCCGCCGGAAATGGGACCTTTCCATGTCCCCCTGACCGACTCGCCACCTCTTCTCGTGGCGCTCCATCGAGAACTAATGAACACTACAGCGGGTCAACACATTTTGAAAGTCTACCGCCAGCACCGACCAGTCCACAAACAAACTCGACAAATGGTGGTTCGGAGCGTCAATCAGAACCGGATCCCTTGGAAGGGCATAGCAGGCACAGTGGTGGCTGGGCTGGGCGTTGGCATAGTGCTCCTGTTTGGTCGTACCGGAATGAAGCCGCCGATAGGATGACCATAGGTAGATTCGCTTATGCAATAAGGTGCTTCTATTACAAGGATCGAAACAGGTACGGTACAGTGGGGGGTTAGCTCTTCATATCATATCTAGCTACCGTATCTACCAGTTGCTACCGTTGCGGGCACAGTGTCCTGTACGGCATGCGCAACCCTTCAAGGCTAGAAAACGAACCAACAACGGAATGGAAACTGAACCTCAGGAGGGAAAATCTGCAGGAATTCTTGTGAGAGTTTTTCAAAAGCCATTCACCTGCTTGTGGAGTCAGTGATCATGCGAATCTTCCAAGGGTGATGCATTCTAGTCAGGAAGATTGAGACCCTTCACGCTCCCCTCCACGAATGCTATTGTACCGGAACGTAGCTCCATTGCCAGTTTTTGAATGCAAAGCTCCATTCTATCGTTTCAGCTGTGGCACCTTCTGTGACCTGTCGCTCGTTTCCGATAGAAGCACCAAAGCAAACCCTAGAATGACCATGATTCCCACCAGCATCTCCACAGTCAATGGCAAAAATGTCGTTTTCTTCCAAACCTTGTCTCATTTCTTCTGCGGCATGGCTCATGGCTCATGGCTGGGCTGGGCATTAAAATGAATTCTTTCATGGCTGGTTGCTCAGGTACGGTACTCAGGCATGGCAATAGCTGGCAATTCCAATTGTGAGATACTGCCAACGGGCAGATGACATGGTTCCACAGTACCACTTCATGAGCGACTGATCGCTGTGGACGTGCCGTTGGCAAAGGTTTATCATCCACTGTGGGGTCCCGTCCCGTTCGGTACGGTACCATGGTGTGATGGGCAATATGTACATCCATTGCCCAACACGGGCACGAAACATGATGAAAGCAAGGCAAACACCACAGCCAGCTACGGTACCGGTACAGTAGCAAGTCAGCTATGATATGAGAACGTGTTGGTGACTGGGACTCGAGGTCCTTTATGTGGCATAACACTTTTGCTCTTTCCTTTGGGTACTGCTGCCTTTCAATTGCCTTTTCCAAAACGAGCTTATAAAAGGCAGGCCCAGCCAGTTGTCCAAAATCCACCACATGCTTGATACTGTGAAGACAATGATCTTGCAGCCATAACTCCCAAGGATGTAGTCAGGAAGATGAGACCCCTTCAGCCTCCCATCCCTGAGAAACGTTGGCATGTTTGGCTCCGTGGCCAGTTTTTGAATATGTCTTTGTTAAAGCTGTGGCATTTTCTGGGACCTGTTGTTTCTCAGTGAAAGCAACTACCAAAGCAATCCCAAGAATCACCATGCACTATCATGCATTCAACTAGCTAGCTAGCATCTCCACAGTCCACCACGACAAGAATATCTTGTTCTTCCAAGCATTTTTGCCATCATGCATTGGAAGCCTGTTGATGGGCTGGCTGGGCACCAAGAACAAGCAGCCGGAGGCTGATGCCCTCAACTGTCAAAAAGAGATTTGATTCCGGAATCAAATCCTTAACATCTTTGGTCAACTGGACACACTAGCACGTCTCAATAGCCAGCCAGTACAGGTCCAGAGTACTGTGTCCAACAGAACACACAATATCAATCCCTATCCTTAACAAGGAAAATGTCCCTTATGTCTTTGGCAAAACCTACACCGTGTTTATCTGGACACACTAGCGAGTCTGCATAGGCAGCCAGTACCGGTACCCATGTGTAGAAACTACTGTGTCCAACAGAACACACAATATTAATCCCTATCCTTAACGAAGCAAGTGTCCCTTATGTGACGAAAACAGCTGCAACAAACACACACACACACACACACACACACACACACACATACATACAGCGATAAAAGTGTGAAAGACCCTCAGTCCGTTGAGGGCAAAAGGAGTCTTTTCGTGTTCCTCAGGTACATGTATGGCAGTAGCTGGCAATTCCAAGATGGGCAACGCCCTTGGTGTGGTTCTTATTCCGGCCAAAGCATAGGCCCCTGGCAGGGTTCCACTTCATGGCTGACGGTTCCTTTTGCTCGATGCAGCTTGCGGCAGTTGCTTGATACTCATTGATGTCTTTCAGGATCTTGTCAAGCCAAGTCAAGAAGTCATGCCCTCTTGGCCCCCCCTGTTGGTCCTTGACTTGTCCCCTGATCCCACTGAACACTGAACCACATTCCACTCTCGCTCCTACTACCAGTAGCTAGCTAGTACTGTACGGTACAGCCCCCTGCGGCAGCATAGCTCATTGTACCTACCGGTCGTACCGGTGTACCGGGTACCGGTATCCACGCACCAGGTGCTGCTAATTAAGCAATTTCCGAGCACGGGCAAACATTAAGTCTTTGTGTAATAGCCAGCTTGCATAGTTAGGTGCCCAGCGGAACTCAGAACGTGTTAGTGAGCTGTTGGTGACTTGCAACTTTAATACTTAGCGCTACGTTGATGTGGCACAGAACTCGAGAACCACGTTGCCCTTTCCTTGCCTTTTAATTGCCCTTTCCAAAACGAACTCACTGACGCAAGTAGCACAACTGTCCATAGCACTGTCCATATTGTTACCGTCATCTGCCCCATAGGAACGTCATTACCGTGTATTTATTGATCTATTCCCTTGAGCTTCTCGTTCTTGACACCACAATTCTTTTTGTACAGAAAGCTCAACGCAAGTTCTCGTTTTTCATTAAAAACAGTGAGAACTTTGACGGCAATCGGTTCGTGTGACACGTATAGTTGTTGTATGTGTACTATCTTTTGATAAATCAAGTCAGAGCAGAGCTTCTGATGCTGAATGAGTCAGATATTGAGCTGGTTGCGATGTTGCTTGAACCTATGCATAGATTTATGGACCTTTGAAAGATCTCCTGATGCCTTATAGCTTGCATCAGAGGACTTCAGGACCAGGCAACACTGTTATTGAGAAAGCCAGGAATTGCAGTTTAGCGCATAGTCAGTGCAACTGTTTGGACTCTACCATACTTTTGATCACAGCCAGCTCGCATCTTATCGATCAGGATGATCTCTTCTTCGACTGGTGCCGCCGCTCCTTCTAGCGGTATCGCGGAAGGCAACACTACCGGTAGCAATGGCGGTGCTCCTACGGCAAAGGCGGCTGCTGCTCCTTGCTCTCTGTCCTCTCCCAGCGACTGCTTTACCTCTTTATTCCCGTCTTATTCGCACAATATGTTTTCCAACCTTCTCGATGGAGATCTCTTGGATGAAGAACTACACTGTAAGTCTTTGATCCGGCCACTGCGCTAAGCTAAACGCTTCTGTTTGCATTCATCTTACATCTTATGCTAATATCGTACATGTGCCACAGCCCTGCTCAATTTGACTGACGACCCGACAACGGCTGCATTGCTGGAGGCTGACGCTGCATGCACTACCAGTACTAGTAGTTCAACTAGTACCAGTGCTGACCGTACCTGTACAACAGTTACTACTGAATCAGAAGCGTCTGAGGCGAGAGAGCATCCAGGGTTAGTGGTGGCCCTCACTGCCGAAGCTCTCGATGCTAATCCTGTTGTACAGGAACCATTCTACTTTTGCGCAAATGGCCAAAACGGCGCAAATACTAGTACTGACAATAACGGTACTGTGGCCCCGGGTCAATCCTCGAGCCCTGCACCGCTCGCGTTGGCTTCCGTCACTACAGCAGTAGAGACCTACAAGACCAATCCAGATCCTGTGGTGGGGCAAAAACGAGAGCTTGCCGCATCTGATGCATTGGCCAATATGACCAAAACGATGCTCAAAAAGGCAAAGAGAATCAGCTTTCAGAGCTCTTGTGGGCCTCTCGCAGTCATTGCACCCAAGGAAACTATCATTACACCCAAGGAAACTATCGTCGAAGTTGTGGCACCCCAAGCACAAGAGCAGCCAAACGAACCCGGCCCCCCAAGCAGCAGCTCTACACCTCCCGAGGTGCTGGCAGCATCCTCGGAGGAAGCCACCTGTAGTGGACACATTAGTAACAAATCCGTATCGATTGTGGATGCCCTCATCGAGACTTTGGCAAAGAACAAGCAGAGTGCTGAAGAAGACGTTTCGTCGCCAACAGGCCAGGTTGCTGGATCTCTACCTCCTCCTTCAGAGCAGCTTTCCAGTATTGCTCCACCTGTTGCCCATGCTGGTCCAACCCTGGTACCCCCTCCTCCCCAAGCCCAGGCGAAACTGATCCAAATCGCCCCGTTACCCGAACTCGCAGAAATACAAGCCAACGCTCCTGATGTTGTGCTCTCAACGAGTACTCCACCAGTGGAGGTTACGGCTGCAGCTATCGAAGCACCAGATAGCCCTGCCACCACCACCAAGACCAAGGGACGACGTCCCATTAGTGCTGAACTGCAAGAAGTGCCAGCCGAGTATCGGAAACGGACCAGGAATCTATCCGCGGCGGAAAAGAACGAGATTTCACGCAATCGGAATCGGATCCATGCCCGGAACACACGCCTGCGCAAGAAAGCCTACGTCGACGACCTCAAGCAGACGGTCAACGATTTGGTCGACGAACGAGATGCTGCCAAAGCATGGCAGGAACGACAAGCCAAGATTCTCAAGCAAAATCGAAGTGTCCGTCTCATGGTCATGGAACACTTTCTCAAGTTGGCAGCCTCGGCAGATGATGACTCGACGGCGAATCGTTGGGAAACACTCCTCAAGGACAGTGTTCTGGTATCGTTCCCTTCGTTGTTGCTCAAGAAAGGGAATAATAACTTGTTGCATGCCAGAGGGATACCAGAGGTCATGACGTTTGCCAAGAACTTTTTGAGCTCGTTACGTGAAACGTGTGGGGATGAGAATCTAACTATATCGATTGAAGGCGATCGCAAGTCCTTTTTGATGGATGGCGCCACAGCCGTGCTGGAGATCACCATGAAAGTCAAGCCGTCCGCGAGTAGTGGCAAGCAAGAGCTTTCCCTGGTGGGGTCTTTGCGGACAACATTTTGTGTGCAAACCAACAAGATTCAGTCATCTCGACTCCTTGTCGACTTTGGTTCGAGGTTGGAGTGCATCTCCTCCAACTCGTCATGATCGTAATAGTAGAGCAATCGTAGCCAATGAACGAGTGCCCAGCCAGCAAACAAAAGGCAGCCTAGGCGGATTGTCTGAGCAAGAAGGAGGAGAAGAAATGCAATGTATTGAATACTTCACAGTGCCACTGCATGCTTTTGAAACAACATTTTACATCATTATTCGTAGCTTGCGTTTCAGTTGCAGCAGTTCTTGCCTTCAAGCTAGTTGTGTTCGAGCATGGAGTCATTGAGTCATGGTGAACAGCCGCACTGCAAATGCATCGTGCATGGCACCACTACGGCCGCTTTCCGTTTCTTAAGCTCTCCCTTTAGAAGGACAACTACTAAGTGCAGGTTGGCTCCAGGTTGGTTGAAGCCTAGAACAGGCACCTAGTACGGTAGCAAGATACATGTAGAGCCAAGTTCTAAAGAAGCAAGACAGCGGAGTCTGGAAAAGGTACAGTATGGTAGCATCAGGAAGCCTCTCTTGGTTTAGTATGGGCTGTTTACGGTGAAGCCGCCATCACTATTCTTTAAAACGGCAGTCCAGGACATCTATCTGAAGTGCGTGCTATACATGGACTGGGAGCGATGAGGACCCAAAGCAATTCATCATGTTCCACTGCGCTGCTGGGGTCAAAGCACTGGTATACTGTTGCTGTATCTAGCTAGTTCTGCGTGATTTGCCTGTGGTGGGCAAGGGAACGCAACTTGCAAATGAAGTGCGTGTTTTACCTTGCAGGTCCACGAGCACCCAGCACACTTTCATGGCTGAGGTTGGTAGCAGCAACCTCGAAACCAGCCACACAGGGGCTATGGAGTGTTTTTGTGGTTTTATCTGGCGGGAGGCTTGCAGGTCCACGAGCACCCCACCACGCTTTCGTGATGTTGATAGAAGCACCCTGACTAAAAACACAGGAGTGCTTTACCTTGCAGGTCCTGGAGCATCAGATCGCTTTCCTTGTGTTGACAGTAATAGGAGCGTAGGAGCACCTCGAAGCTTGAAGCCACGAGCTGGTTTGTGTGTCCGAAGCGATGCAAGGACTCCACGATCTTCTCTGTTACACTGAAACTTTGATCACAATCTTTTAGATGAATAGTTGGTCACACGAGTTGAGTTGTCGTTATAATGACATTGTAGTAGGCCTAGTGAGTGCAGCACTCGCAGCCAAGAAGCGATCTATTAATAGTACTGTAGATCTAAGCAACCGCTGGTCAAAATCCACGCGTTTCTAGCTAGTCCAACTGTGTTTCAAAGAGAAGCCAGGCACCTTATTATCATCCTATTGAAATTACTAGGAGCTAGAAGCTACGAAGAGGAGGCTTTGCCAACTTCCAACTATCGTACCGGTACGATGACATTAGCATGCATGATGAGCATGTTGGAAACCAAAAGGTGTGCTTTCACTGTGAATATATCTCGCTCGGAGAGGCAAACTACTCCGCAGTACGGGCCATGATCGCCTTCGATGCTCCCTACGACTCACAACCTGAGACTGAAACACAACTTACTTGTGTCTTCCTTCTAGGCTGTTCTGGACGCCAAGAGGCTACTCGTACGGGTAGGTCGTGGACAGGCTTGGAGGAAATGTATGTCACTCGTGTCGTTGCCCCAGCACCACCCCCCTGCCCGAGTCGAGTCGAGTCTCCTTGCTCCTTGTTAGTGCGTCCTTGGCAAGGATTCCCTGACAGCTGATTCACCCTACTGAGTAGCCAATATCTAGTGGACTCTATGAGACTCCCTGTGGCTCCAATACGGCTGATAGATAGTTCGTGAGAGGTGGACGCTGGACCGGGCCGGGCACAGCACACAGTGGTACTTGCAAGAGGCTTCAAGGAGTGAATCTCTACGACACACAAAGCACTGCTCCAGGCTATTTGCACCAGTGTCTTTTCCGCATGCCGCAACGCCTTCGGTCCGGTACCCGTGTGGTGGGGACGGAAGCTGGACGGAGATGTTGATGTTTGCATCGGCAATTTTAATAGGCTCCTTTTACTCGTGAGGGCGTAGTCTCTCGTGGAGGTGTACCAGCTCAAGAGTAGCCAAGCCAGCAAAGCTCCAGCAATCACTGTTCCTTCGGGATCGGCAACAACCTGAGAACTGAGAAGAACCTTGTTACCCAGCACTGTGCTGTGAAAGAGTTATGGGAGCTATTCCGGTAGGGCCTCTACATGTTACGGCAGGCAGGAAAGAGCATTCCCAAAAGAGCACAGAGATGGGACTGAGCTTCGACTTTTGAACAAACGAGAACAATGGGACTAAAGATTGCTCAGCTATCGCCACTGTCATCATTGAGTACTCGAGTATGAATGATTGAGTGGGTCAAAGAAAAGCCTTGTTGAAGTCTCAATGTCTCAATTCGATCTCAATGACCTTCTCTTGGATCTTTGGGTTTCTCTCAGGCTTCTTTCGGGGTCGTGTTTCTGAATACTTAAACAATTTCCGGGAATAATTGGTGCGCCCACGTGTCTAACTCATCACAAAGGGCATTCAGTTACATAAAGAAAGGCTATGGATCGAGTAGGACTTGGATGGAATGTTGGACGGCGAAGCAACACGGAGCACCGATCAGCTGTCGAACCCAGCAAGGATCGGCTCCTCCGGCATCCGAGTGAGAAAATGCACAAGAGCGGCAATGGCTTAAGCAGTGGCTTAATTACAAGTGGCCTGGCAAAAGGGTGGAATCGATCCGGATCCCTTCTGCCGCAACCAAAACCATGTCGCCTCGACTGCTTACTCCTAGAGTACAATCCACTCACAAATCAAACCAAAAGCGAATCGTAAAACAAAACACCATCTGACTTACCTCACTCATCAGATCAGACTCCTCATAATAACAAGCTAGCTACTAGCAAACCAATCTCAAAACACAGCAGGAACAGCCCTCCCACAAGTCGTCGCTCGCAAAGAGAAGCCAAACACAGTGTACGTCGCACAGTGCGTTCTTAGTCATTCCATAATCCACCATCGTGAAGAAGAGTCTTCTCACTTTATTCTTTTGCTTGTGCGCAACATACAGTTTCCACAACAAGACATCATAATACTAACAACACAATAATGCACTCTCCAGTTGCAACATCTCCTTCCAAGGCCACCATCACCACCACCATGGCAGACAAGAGTGACACTAGTAACGGCAACCAACTGAGCCTGCCTCAGACTCTCATGAAGCTGCTCATTGAGGGAAATGCGTCTGAGGCCATCTGGTGGCTCCCAGGAGGCAACGAGTTTGCCATCAACGCCGCCTTGTTTCCATCGCAAGTGCTCGAGGTTTACTTTCCTGGTTGCAAGTATGCCAGCTTTATCCGCCGACTGCACAAGATGGGATTCTCACGAGAAACACGCGCTCTCAAGAAGGTCAATGGCATGAAGATTCCACCCAACACGGTCGCCTTTCGCCATGCCAACTTTCGCAGTGACCGCCCGGAATTGGCCAGCGACATTAAGCAAAGGGCTTCTGGAAACGGCAGCAGCCACAAGTCGGCTCAGGCCAAAAAGGCTGCCAAGAGCAGTGTCTCCTCCCACAGTTCCAGATCTTCCTCTCCAAGTGAACAACAAGCGGGTTCTCCCGTCGTCCGACCGGCATCAGCTTCCGCCATGCACCATGATGCAGCACCCGTCCACAGCATTTCCTTTCCTACAAGTGTGCCCTCTGCATTCCGCCCTGTGGCTTCTCCAGCATACTCCTCCAGTCTGCTTCCCATGGCACCACTTCTGGGAGGAGGAGAGGAAGAGAAACAATCCTTGCAACCGGAAGTCGATTCTACAGGGGCCCTGGAATACATTCACAGCTTGAGGCAAGCACAGCAGCAACAGCTGCGTCGGTTGGAACAGGAACGACTTCTCCGTGAGATCATGCTCGAGGAGGAGGCTACGCAGCAACAGTTGCGTCTGGCCCAAGAAAGAATCCTTCGTCGTCAGTTGGATTCGGTTGTGGCTCCTCAAGCATCTCATGCTCTTGCCGCGGCATCGACCTTGCAACAACAGCTACACCCAAGCCTCTTGTTGCGACCTACGGTTCCTTCGGCCGCATCACCCATCCAGGACGATGTCTTGCGCCGATTGCAAGCCATTAGGCAACTGCAATCCCAAGCAACTGCCGATGCCGCTGATTCCTCCTCCAGTATGCAATCTTGAGAGGCTGACTCACAGATCAGTCCAGGCCATATATATATCATGAGAAAGCTGGCTTCCGCGCAACAGTTAGTTGTGCTGCAGTTTCCTTCTCCTCATCCTTCATGGCAAACAGTTTCCCTCGCTTCTTCTTCCTTTTCTCAGGCAAGCAACAGAAAGCTTTTCCAGTAGCAAGTGCGTAATCTCTAATATTAGAAACAGATAATTTACAGATACGTGCGTAACCAGTACAATTGTCCCTACTCCTTCTGCGTAGCTTCAGGTCCTTCGCAACTAGGCTATTGTGAGGTTCTGCATTCTCCTGCAACTTTCGCCAAGCCAGTCCCGATAGTCTGATCTTGATATGGAGTTCCTCTATAAATGTTACGCTAGCTGGAAGTAGCTACCTACTTCGCCCAGCCATGCAACCAAAGATTCCTTAAAACGAAGGGTTCAGGTTCGGGGCATTGGCATCGTCGGTAGCTTCACCCTCAGCTGCGTCGCCGGCCTTTTGCTTCCTCTCGGCCTGACGTCGCGAGACATACTCTTCATAGTTCTTGTCGCCTCCAAACGGTCGTGCTCCAATCAAATCATAAATCTCATCATGATTGACGGTCTCTTTCTCCAGCAACAACTTGGCAACCTTGTCTACTTCATCCTTGCGCTCTCTCATGAGGGCCAAGGTTCGCTCGTATGCCTGGTCCACAATGTGTTTGGCTTCTTCGTCCATGGCCTTGGCCGTCTTTTCCGAATACCGACGTTCTTCCCACATGGCGGTTGGATCCTTGGGGAATGCCAGTTGACCTAACCGATCGTTCATACCGTACAACTGAATGGTGCTGTAGACCATTTGTGTGACACGGCGCAAATCATCCGATGCTCCCGTGGTGACACTGCCAAAGAATACCTCTTCGGCGGCACGCCCTGCCAATGCCATGGCTACAATGTCCATGATTTGATCTTGGGTTCGCAAGTTTACTTCCTTGGGCAAGTACTGAGCAAAACCAAGAGCTCCACTGGCCCGGGGAATGATGGTGACCTTCAAGAGTGGATCCGCATGTTCCAAGAACCAGCCGGCCACCGCGTGACCAGCTTCATGGTAGGCCACAATGCTACGTTCTTCTTTGGACATGATTCGGTTGGATTCCAATCCACCAATGACACGATCCGTGGCTTTTTCAAAGTCGTCCATAATGACAGAGTCGGCATTGCGACGGGCCGCGACAATGGCCGCTTCATTACAAATGTTGGCAATATCAGCTCCAGAAAAACCTGGCGTCAGTCCAGCCAATCGTGAGGCCACGTTATCAATGGCTTGTCGTTGTTCTGGTGTCATTTCTGGTTCTTCCTTGTCGTTATCACTGTTGTCGTCACTTTTGGCATCTGGACTGATGACTGGTCCCATTCCTTCCACAAGTGTAATCTTTTTCAAATGCACCTGAAAGATTTCCTTGCGACCTTGAATATCGGGCAGATCCACTTGGATCTTTCGATCAAATCGTCCAGGCCGAGTCAATGCTGGATCCAGAATATCATCTCTGTTTGTACCGGCAAGGCACACTACCCCCGCGCTAGGATCAAACCCATCCATTTCCACCAAGAGCTGATTGAGAGTATTTTCGCGTTCATCGTTTCCTCCCATGGCAGAAGATTTGCCCCTCTTTCTTCCAATCGAGTCAATCTCATCAATGAAAATGATGCAGGGGGCATTCTCTCGTGCCTCTCGAAACAAATCACGGACACGGGAGGGTCCAACACCCACAAACATTTCTATAGTACAGTAGAACAAGCAAGCAAGGCGTTGCGATTAGGAAAGAAGGGGGTTGTCAGCACGAGACAATCACATTGACAGGACACGGCCATTGCGACTTGGGCAGCCAGCCCCGCTGACGGCACACTTTAGACATGATGTACGTACCCAAGAATTCACTTCCCGCCAATGAGTAAAAGGGAACTCCAGATTCTCCAGCCACCGCCTTGGCCAACAGGGTCTTTCCTGGAGATGAAGAGACGATGGAGACGTATAGCGAGTGACAAGAAACAACAGCACAACAACAAACGCGGTGAGCACTCCAATCCAACCAACGGGCATCAAATCTTTTTCCTTCCCGACTTGTACATATTTCATTTCATTTCATTTCATTTCATTTCAGTCAGTACTCACCCGTTCCAGGTGGCCCCGCCAAGAGAGCGCCCTTTGGTATTTTGGCTCCCAACTGTGTGAATCGATCGGGCGTTTGCAAGAATTCGACAAACTCTTTGATTTCTCGTTTGGCTTCGTCACATCCGGCGACATCGGCAAATCCAATATTGATATTCATTTCCTTGGTGAATTTTTGTGCCGTACTCTTGCCCATGCCAAACATGCCGCCGCTGCCCGACGAGCCAGTAGCACCGACACCACCCATGCGTCCGGCGGCACCTCGAAACGATGCCACGAGGAATCCACTCAATAAAATCCATGGCAACAATCCCAATAATTCCGTAGCGACACTACTGTCCACTTGATATTGGACGGGGATATCTTGTTGGGGACTTCGTCCCAGTGCTCGTTGGGCTTCTTCTAACTTGCGCTCCAACGATTGTGCCGATCCAATGCGCAAGTTTCGATAAATGAGGGGTGTATTGTTGTGGTTGTTGGATGCGGTTGTTGTCGTTAAGCCATTCGTGGACGACCATTCCGGATTATTATTGCTAGTAGTAGTGTTGTTAGTGTCACCTCCAGTAGACCATTCATTGTCATCGGGCATCACGTCGGCGGTTGTTCCAGAGAGGAGGACCGAATCTAGATTGACGCCGGGTTTCATGTAGACTCGTGCCCGTGTACTGGCATGATGATCGTCATTTCCAGCTTGTCCCTGATGAATGACAATCTTGAAAACGGCATCGTGTTCGAGGAGTTTGAGGAATTCTCCCCATGTGAGATCCAAATGATTGGCAATGTGTTTGTTGTTGCTGTTGTTGTTTCCAAAGACTCTTCCTGCGGCAGCACTCATACCACCACTGGTAGAAGCAGAAGGACTGTCTGCCGTAGAATTGGTACTGTACGAATGCTGATTGCTGCTGTTATTGCTGTTGTTGTCTCTGCTGGATTGGTCTCTTCCGGAAGATGAAGACATGATGGCTGCCACCACCAACATCATGGTAGTGATAATGACCAGATTGCCATTGTCACCATCATCATTGTTGTTATTGTTGTTCTTGTTGTCATTCCCCCCTCCACCTGAACTCTTGTAGTTTTTGTCTTGGTCTTTATCTTTTTTGCCATCACTTTCACCTTCACTTTCACCCTTCTTCTTATTGTTATTGGTATTGCTAGCATCAGAACCTCCTAGCTTATTGCGCTTCAAAAAGTTGTCAAATCCACTTCCTTCTTCTGGTTCTCGCAATGGAAACTGAAAGTTGAACAGGGAGAAATTCTGTAGACTGTTACCAAAACCAGCCATGAAGCTACTGGTATCGGCTGTGGGTTGGGTATATCTATCCGGGGGTATAGGGGTAGCATTCCGGGTGGGCTCAGCAGTCATCTTCTTGTCTTCCTCAGTCTTGGACGAAAAGCTTCTTAGGCCATAAGATACACTACTAGTAGTAGTACTGGTAGTATATTTGGGATGCTTGGAAAGAGAAAGATATCTTCCATAGCTGCCATGACCGTGACCGTGGGCAACGCGGCGTTGCGCCAAGAGCCTCAAGATACCCAAACTCGACATGATCAAGACCAAATCAAAATATACTAGCAAAAGCTCTCAGGTCCTTGGGCTTAGAATAGTCTCTGCTGCTTGTTCTTGTTCTTGTTCTTCTTCAGTTGACAGCTCAATCCAACAGTAGAGACAAAGAATGATGAGGCTTGACTTTGTGCGTTCTTGTGGTGTCCTTCGCCCATGGTCGCCGTCGTTCTTTGTGGAGTCGTGAGTGACGTGTTTGTTATCCTTAATACTAGCATTTTAAAAAGGTTAAAAAAGGAAAGATGACTCACAACTCAGTTTCCACGACGAGGAAGAAGACCAATAACACGTTCCAGAAGGATACGATAACGTGCTTTCAACACGAGCGATGACGCTGGGACCGTACCCGTACACCCGTACATGTAGCTCCTACAGTGCCTGAGTGTACCATAGTCACTATACGGCAGGGTGTCATGGAGTCGTCTCCTGGGGTTGGTGGCACCAGCCATGGTGTGGGAGCTGCTTCGGCCGGCAGTCATCACATGTATGTCTAACATGGCTGTCATTCTTGTTGTTGGTTGATCCACTGCACCACCCTTTCTCTCTCTTATTGCTAGTCTGTTCCCAGCGTTTTTGGCGTTCCGGCATGTGATCACCATGGTGCAAAAGTGGGGGTTGGCCTTGCTCTCCAATCGGTGCCGAGAGAGTCAGTCATAGTGGTGTTACCGGTACGATACGGTATATCACTGATGGTGAGCCGGAGGAACGCTCCCTGGGCCAGTGATCCAAGTTCGGCGATTAAGATATCATCGGGCTCCCCGCACCCTGCCTTTTAGTCTTTTGGTTACGATATCGGTGCTACCTCTTCTTTCACCTTCCTGTGATGCTCTACAATGTAGCGCTTCGGACCAAGCTTAATTAAGGCCTTTCATGTCAAGTCGACTCACTCGGTGGTGAGTGCCTTCTTGGTTATCCCTAACAGTAAAGGTTAAGGGTACGTTACTCACAACCCAGTTTCCACGACGAGGAAGAAGACCAATGACACTGGAGATATTCCATCCATGTACAGGAAGACTTGGAACACAGCATCCATCAGTTACTGTACTTGCAAAGATGAACCATAGAACCGTAGACAGCCATTCTAGTTGATTGTTCTCACAATCCAACAACCATAGAACCACCTTTGCTTGGATATACCAATAATGGCAGCTACAAATACATTCGCACCCTCCTGGTCTTCCTTCCATCCTGATGAATGCCCGGCCTTTCGACCTTGCTATCACCCCGAAGACTGTTGGGATGCCCATGCCACTGACACATCACCAGAAAATGGAGGTGCCTGCACTTCGTGTTGCTGGAGGCTCATGTGGACCATGCTCACTGCGGGAGTTATCCTGATTGCCTACGGTGACATTTCCATCTCACGGACGTCGGTTGGAACCATGGTGGCACGGTACCTTCAAAAGGTCAAGGAGTATCGACGCAACGTAAAATAGTATCAATCCCAACATTGCAAACACCAACACCAACCATTGAGCCCGGAAGAAATCAATCTACGAATACAACAGACACAAGACCGAAAAAAGGACATTTTCACAACCACCAATACACGCAACAAGGTGAGACTCTTTTCCAACTTTTCCAAAGACCTTTGCAATCCTACGGTGCAACTTCCAGAAGCACCACAGGGCCGAGAATACACACCCAAAAAATATGGTATTGGGTCCTACTCCTTTTCCGCATGGGGCATGATTAGTAATCTGGGACACATCCTCTCCACCCAATACATTTATGCCATTGTATGGAGTTCTCTGGGATGGGGACTTTTTGCCTCGGGCATTAGTACCTATGTGTGGCTGCAGCACAGTCATGGAGAGTTTTGTGTCGAACAGGGATACTACGAATCAGACACCATGACCGAACGGTCCCAACGATTCACGGAAATCTACACCCGGATCCGGTTCGACTATCTATACTTGACACTCTTTGTACTGACCGGGTATGTTGCCTTTGTTGCCGCTCGATGGAGGGGATGGTTGCAGAATTGTCATGATATTCAACATGGACTTCATTCCGTGGCCATGCTTTGTGGAGGTGCCATTAAGAATCCAGCCCATCATCCCACGCTGCTATCGCAGGCGGAGATTGACATGATGAGATTCAAATTGCACAAGATATACCGATATCTCAACTGCATACATGCCATGACCTACCTGACAACTTCACAAAAACTACAAAACTTGAGTGTCAAGGAAACACTCCACGATCAACTGGGATTGCTCACTCAAGAGGAACTGGATGACGTTGGTCCCAACATTCAACATGACTTGCCCATGGCAGTTGTATTGAGTTGGTTGTCCAATGCCGTCATGGACTTGCTGTACAGCACCACCAATGCAAAGGGGAATTCTTCCGAGCCCTTTAGTCTGGCATACACATATACTCCAGCCTACAGCCAACTGGCGCCCCTCCAAAAGGCATGCGAGAATCACGAGAATTGCTACGTCCTCAATCAACCCAACTTTTATCGGGATGTCGTCCTGGTGTGGCCATGACCATTTTCATGCTCATGGTTATTCTAGGAGAACCCTTTGGGAGCTTTGTCTGTGTTGGAAGGGACACGGTGAATACGGAATCCTTGATCCTTCCTTGCTTCCAGCCCTTGACTATATATTCGGTCTTTGTCTTGACCGTGGCGGTTCGAACCCTGTTCCTGTCCATCATGGTACTGAACAATCCTTTTGAGTATCAAAGTGAACAGATATCCGTGGATCACTTGTTGGCATCATCGGAACGCAGCATCTTCTTCCACTTGAGGGCCAACTTTGGGCGGTCAGTCAGCAGCCAGGCCACCGGTAAATATGGTACAACTACAGATGATGATGAGACAAGTCACACCGCCAGAGAAAGCATTGCTAGCTTTGCCGAAGAAACTCGGCACTCCATGGCAATGAAAAGGTGGCAAGAACCAAGCAGCCACCACCATCGTGGCAGCAGCCACCACCATCGTGACAGTGACCGTACCCAAAAGAGCCAATCCAATGTCAGTTTTGCCAACGATCTGGTGTTTTCCAACAGCAGCCATGATCCAAAAGGGACTAGACCGAGCGATGCCTCTTTTGGTCTCGAGGAACTGGCCAGGATGCAGAACAGCAAGGTCAGCTTTGCAGATGTCTTGGTGGAGGAAATGACACCCTTGACAAGCAAAGCCGATAACGATGGCAATCGCAGCCATGCTGCCACCTTTATGACAAAGGGGCCCGGCGTCAAGGGATTCCTACGAAGCCTTTCCGACGGAAGCAGAGGCAGTGGCAAGACCTTTCGGACTGTTTCCAAGCATGCTAGCAACTCATCGACAGACCTGGATGCAGCAGGACCTCGGTCAATACTTCGTAGGTCGTGGACATCCGGTTCTTCATCGTTGACTTTTCCTTTGCCAGACACCGAACTTGAGCATGACGAGCCGAGTGTGACCAGCTTTGTTTCGTCTAGCTCTGGTACCTGGTAGCACTTGATTTGTGATGGGTGTAAAGTAGGAACATTATGCTAAACTGTACATCTCCAGAAACACACTAGCAGCCATAGATGACATCATATCTCTCCTCGTCGATTGCCAAACCAAGAGCTTCAGCGCCTGGCCACTGCGAGGATCAAGCAAGGCCCACAGCCGCCACATCACAATTTTTAGTTGTGCAAATGCTTTTCTTTTAGCTAAGAATAACCTCGTACTTGTGAATAAAGGATAATGCCTGGTAGAGGGGCTAGGGGTGGCTTGCACACGATATACGGCAAACATCCTCACCAAATCTCGATCTGGCTCGAAGAGGTCTGGTGACGAATAACACGTGGCATTGAGTTTAGACGTGAAGGCGGTGCATGTACCGGTACCACGACTGAGACGCAGCGTCTCCAGGATCTCCCCCTAACGTGCTCATTACAAGATCATGACATGATCCACAAAAAAAAACAAGAGAAGCGCACGATGATTGCTTCATTGATCCTCTGTTGTTGTTTGGCTGCTCCGACCCTCTCCTTCGTTCCCGTTGCAACGGTTGTTTTCCCCCTTGGAGTCGGAAGCAGTTCCTCGTCGTCGCAGCTTCGATTTGTCAATGAGGGCCATCCCCAGGATGAGGTTTTCGCTGTCACCGATTCCAAAACAGAAATGCCCTTTCCTTGGAAGTGTCTCGACATCAATAAGGATGGTAAAGTAGACTTTCACGATCTCGCCTTTATTGTCACGACTGCACTAGACGCCAACCAAGACGGTTTGGTAGATGAAAAACATGTCCAAGCCGCTCTTTCCGTGTCGCTATTGTTGTGGATGCTCATGGTCTCTCCTGTTCAAGCCAAGGGAGGCGGTGGTGGTCATGGCGGCGGCGGTGGTGGTCACAGTCACTACAGCGGCTCAATGTCAACCTTCGACCAACCCGAGTATGATCCATATCGTCGACCTAACCGTCGCGAGGCCAACCGCATGGTCCAGCTTCGACCTTTCGATCCTAATGCCTGCGCCGATCTCCCCGTCGAAGGTGAGGTGGTGGACGTTCTGGTCGACGACTGGCGCGGGAACTACGTACCTGGAGTTGTCAATGATGTCCAAGAGGGTTCGTGCAGTTTCAAGACCGATATGGTAGGTGGTGGCAAAGTCTTTCAGTATCCAGCATCCAGGCGATTGACAAGCAACCGCAACTGGCAGAACTGGGTCGCTCCCAGTATCGTGGCGGGAGCAGTCGGGTTTGTCGGGCTGATTGCCTTGGAAGAAGAGTGGAATTCTGAATGGGAGAGAAACTTTGACGACGAGTTCTTGCAAAGTACAGGCGGAGAGACCAAAGCTGCGGCAACAGAGATCGAAACGTTCCCGCCACCATGCAGTGGTTCCTACGTTGGCACTACACGCGAATCTGACGGCATGAACCAGCAGGTCCAATCCGATTTGAAGTTCTACTCTGACGGAGAGATCTCCGGAGATGGATTCGATTCTGAAGATGGGCGATATTCTGTGTCGGGGGCTTGGAAGGAGAACAAAGTACGATGGATTGAAAGGTACGGGCTCCGGTTTTCTGTCACCGTACGAGGAGAAGTGCTCTCTGATGGGAGCATCCAATGTCGCTTCACATCTACGCGAAATGTACGAGGAAAATTCACAATTCAGCAGAAGTAGCGCTACGGAGTAAAACTATAGATAAGTGATGATAAATGACAACTCTGTGAGTTCGGCTGTCCCTCAATGGGGCACTGTCTACAAGGACAAGTGCGTAAGAAGATCTCAAGGCCGCCCGTTACTGTACATCCTATCCATGATCCAGAGTTCCTTGTACTAAGCAGGCCGACCATCACGTGCAGCCTCTATTACGTCATCCCATGCAGCCGAGGGCACAGACCTTCAGACGACGGCTTCAGGTGGCGTTTAGGTCTGGAAGGTTGGCAGCATTTTCTTAGTAGGATGCTGGGGAGCAACGCGGGAACTGAAGAGCATGGAACGAACCGGCAGGTTTTGTATTTGTGACCTGGTTCTGTGGTACTCCTCTACAGAGGTCTACACAGACCGGCGGTTACAAATACAAACCAGCCGTTATCGTTCCCTTCAAAACAAACCTGCTACTTAGGGCCGGCTGTGCCCCATCGGTCTCCGGCCTGACCATCGGGCTGTCGGGCTTGCGCCCTCTCTTAAGCCCTCGGTCAGACCTCCGACCTTGGGTCCCTGCCTCAACCCCTAAGCTTAGTTCCTCCCTCCTTATTCCTTGGATTCCTTTGAGCTCTCTGGATATTCCAGGAATGCAGGAATTCCTTGACTCCTCCAAGGAGCAGGAATTCCCCCAAGGAATGTTACAATTAGAGCTAGAAGGAGTGTTGAGGGAGTTCCTCCACCAAAGGAATTCCTGCACTGATTCCTTTTACTTTGGTTAAACTAGATGCTATTTTGGCCACAAGTGCCCATAGAACAGCCTCAACAAGAGGCATAGGCACCACCCATTTCAGAGTTGATGGAGGCAATGATGCCTTCTAAGCGTTCCTGGACTTCTTGGCTACAGGAGCTAGAAGCTCCTCTTCATCATCCTCATCATCATCATCCTCATCATTGTCAAGAGCAGCTACAGGAGCCACCACTGGTAATTCCTGGGAATTCCTTTGTTCCAAGGAATTCCTGCGGGAATCATTGATTCCCTCTACGTAAATTCCCTGGCTCCTCGACTAAGGAATGGGCTCTTTTAAATCTCAAGGAATTATGGGGGAATTCCGGGAATAAAGGAATTCCTCCAAGGAGGGAGGAACTAAGCCCCTAAGTAAGCCGGTTTGTTTTTAATAAGTGCATCTCGACTTTTGCACCCAGGTTGAGATTCAGCTTCAGTTCTCGTTACTACGGTACCGGTACGGTACCTGTACTATACTGGTACGCGCCGCTGTGTGCGTGTCATCGTTTCTCATTTTGATTTTGACAGTTTCAATATTGAAGTTGGTTTTGATGTTGAGTTTGAGTTGGTCTTGCCAAAAATTGTCGCTGAAACGAAACGCTGTTGCCTAACCAAGCTCTTTCTTTGATTTCAGCACAACAACACATTCTTTTGTCTTCTTCTTCCTCTCGAAAACATGCATGACGATGACACCTTTTCCGGTGCTGCTTCGGCAGCCACTCCTTCGGGGGCCCTGCGGAGTTGGCTTGCCGGTACGCCCCACGTCAATTCACTGGGAAAGGTGTCCTCTTGCGGTGGTTCCAGTGGGGATGGACGTCCTCGTGCAAGGTAACGGTCAGTTCTTCTGTTTGGCGGGTCGATCGTCGTTGGTTCTTCTGATTAGCAAGCAAACTGTGGCGCCTCAAACACTTGTCTCTTGCTCGTAGGTCCGCTCAATGGCTGCTGGCCGTTGACATTGGTGCTGTTGTTGGTCGCTCGAGAACAAAAGGTCAGTTCCCATTCTTCTCACAACGTCTGACAATTGGTGCCATTTTCCGGTGCTGCTTGCAGCTGCTTCGAGCCTTTGTTAGAAGAGCGAATGGGCGGCCATTTCATGAGTCCGTTCCGTTCACTCTTCACCGGAAGATGGTACCCAAACAGTCTTTCACTTCTTCTTCTGTATTGCATGTATTGCAACAAGTCATACTAACGTTCCTTCTTTCTTTTTTCACCACTGTTGTCATTGGTCGTTCGTGCTTGATTCTCAAAATTTCATGCGAGTTTTGAAACCGTTGCTCCTTCCTTCATGGGGTTGGTTCGTCCTCGTGCATGCAACCATGTTGGGGCTCAATGGATCGACCTGCATTGTCCTGATATATCGTCCAATTGATTTGGTTGTGGGGCAACGGCATCGCACGTGGCTGGACGGCTCGAAGTCGAGTCGAGTCTTACTTTAGCTCTCGCCATCGAGATTGAAAATCGTGACTATCGAGCCTTGCACGTGCCAATTGTTAATTGAATCAAAGATAGGTTGACGGGCACAGGGCTGATTAGGGTTTGTACAGTCCGAGCGTCAGCACTGCATCGATACTTTATGTCGTGCTGACGATTCGACTGTTAAATAGGAGTTTTGAATGGCCAAATCTGCAGTGATTATGGATGACTTGCCGTAAGGAACTGTAAGACGTCCAATCAGTCTTATGTTTTTTTCTTCTTATATCATATAATCAGTATATTTTTATTCTAGTGCGGATTAATGGCTGCTCTTGGAACAAGCAATTGACCGACAGGCCTTTGGTATCTTGTGACAAACAACAAAACAGCAAGCACTGCGAAGTGGGGAGGTCCTGGGTGTTACAGTATTGCAGTCGTAGCTCCCATCGCATTCGATAGTTACGAGCTACCATTAGCTAGCTTTCGTCACAAGCACTCTTTTAATAGGCGCCAATAGGAAAGAAGAGCACTTGCCAAGTGATGGCGGAGGCTGGCGAAGGCAAAGCAGAGGCTACAGCTCCTCCTCCATTGGAGATTCCAGGAGAGGTTTCGCCATCGGTGTTCCCCAAGTTGCTGATGAAGTTGCTGAATGATCAGGTGGCTCCTGATGCACTCTGGTGGTTGCCCGACGGCGAAGCCTTTGCCATGGATCCACATAAAATTGGACCAGGGGTACTAGACAAACACTTTCGAGGTACCAAACTTACGAGCTTTGTCAGGAGACTTCATAATTGGTGAGTTTTACTTCGTTGTCCCTCTACTGTACAGTAGAAAGTATACCTCTGCTACCCTTGGTTGCTGATGCAATGAATGTTATTGACGATGATACATTACAGTGGCTTTCGGAGAACTACTAGAAAGTACAAGAAGGATCTTAGCCTGGGTCTTCCAGAGGCAGTTATTACCATGAGCAATGAGCAATTCTTGCGAGATTCACCTGAACTCCTCGATAACTTCACTATCAAACCAATCAGAGAGAAACATTCCAAAGTGAAAGAAGCAATAGGGAAGGCGAAAGAAGGAATGGAAAAGGAGAAAAAGGAAAAAGAGCAACTGGGCAAGCAGCAGAAGCATCCTGTTGTCGAAAGCAGCAACGTGTCTGCCACTGCCTCCATTCCACAGTCTGCTTCCGTGCCAAGAGTGCTCGTTCCACAACCAACCGCTCAGCTCCCAGCTGCTGCACTCATGTCAATCAACCCGGCACAGCAAGCAACCAGACGAGCCCAAGAATCTGCTGCTTTGCTAGCCCTCCAAGAACAAATTGCAAACAACCAACCCCAAACTACTGCTCCTGCAATCTCATCGTCGCTACAGGAGAGGGCACTATCCCTGATGCAACGGCAGCAAGAACTAGACGAAGAGAGCTCCCGGCTCCGACAGCAGATTTTGATGGAATCGTTCCTGGGCACTGGCGACAGCACCACCACCACCAACGCTACGATTACCAATCCCTTGCAAGCACTGCTGATACCTCCCACTGCGCCACCACAAGTCGACTTGCCGCCGCAGCAGCGCACAAGAAGTGCTGCCGAGCTCTTGATGGATGCCAGACAGAATCAGCTCATGGAAAACTTGGGGCTGGCAAGGACACCACGCACTCCTGGGAATGACGCTCCTGGCCGAGAAGCTGCGGCACCCGCATCTCCGCCCGGACGAACATTCCAAGAAGAAGGGGATTGTCCAAAGGAAGAACCATAGCTAGCTAGTAGATATGGAAACGACAGGACCTGGCGCAGCGCTTTGTGCTGCTAAGGAAACAAACCACAAGAGGCGCCACGAATGAGGGTTGCGGTCTAGGTCTAGCTAGCTATAGCTTATCAAGTCAAAGATCGGGGTGTCAACACGAAGCTTTCCGATAGATTCCTAAACGTTTTATCGTTGTCGACGACTCGAGTACCGGTAGCCCCAATGGACATGCATTGTTCTTCCAACTACATGTAGCTATCCAGCTTGGTAAGAAGAGCTGGCATCCATGGCTGATTGAGTCAACATAGAGGGAGATTACGAAACAGCATAGCATGATGTACATATATTCTGGTAGGGAATCTTTTGCAGGCTCAGCAGCCATCCTGCTGTACTCTAGCTGGCTCAAAGTACATGTACTATTTGCTCTTTGCATCTGCCTGAGAGAGGGAGAGAGCTCAGCAGAGAGTCTTCCTTGCCACTGGCAGTTCACAAGGGCAGATTTTGCAAGGATCGCGACGATGTCCATGGTATCCCAAGGAATGGAGTCGAAGCAATCCAAGCACGAGTAGGGTACCTGGTATTAATACAGCTCCTGGTACCATGGCCATAATATGGCCATGGCAAGCCTTGAATTTCTTGCAATTGGGCACTCAAGACACAGAACCAGTTTCAGGACTAGAAAATTTAATGCAATAGTGCGGGGACGCCTAGTTTCGCTATGCATGACAAGCTCTTAAAGCCAGTGCTGTGTGCTGCTCTTCAAGTTCACCATGAGCAGCCATGGAACATGGATGAACCAAATCCTACCCAGCACTGGTACATGGTACATGTATGGTACCCAGAGAGGCCAGCAGGTGAGGTCAGCTTGCCAGACAGCAACCGGCTACCAGCTACCGGCCAGCCATTGCCTACTACATACCGGTACATGTAGTGCAACCTCCACCTCTCTGGCTCTCTGGCTACCCAGCAGTAGTAGCTAGGAAACGGCTTAGTGCAAAAGTCCAAACTCTGTGGAACCGAACTGCAACTTCTCGCATGGTCGACGGAACAAGAGGAGACTTGGAGCAACAACCAGGACATTATAATCGCTGAAAAGTAGGATTGCATGATTGCATGCAGCTCGGATTCAGCTGCAATCTTGCAGTCTATCATCGAACGAAAGGTGGTGACCAGGGACTTTTTGCTGCCGGAAGGGTGGGGTAGCTGGACATGAGGTGAGATAGAGCATAATATTATTACGGAACACCCACTGCAACTGACAAAGGAGCGAAGCTCAAGCGGAATGGTGGGATTGTGGGATTAGGTGTGATCAAAAGCTCAGTGTTGTGGGGTTCGTGTTGTACCGAAACACTGAAACATTGCTGCTTCAAGCAAGGTGAAACTTTTGAAGAGACTATGCTAGCTAGTAGCCCAGAACTACTAGTACATAGCTTAGTACATGTACTCCCACAGGCTAGTAGTGGATCTCTACTACTAGAAGTCAGGATTTATGTTGGATTCCGCGAAATTTGTCCTTAGAAGTACACTTTACCCAAGAGGACAAGACTTAGTGTGGAAAAAATTTAATGAGATAAAGGTCCAAGAGGCGACGTGTCAATGGACTTGAAAGAGCCTCCCAGAGAAGGTTACAGGGACAGGGGCTTCAATACCTTCTAAATCGAATTATGCCGACCTTTATTTCTGTGTTTGAATGGCGAGGTATGCTGGAACCTCACCGCACCGCGGTGACTTTGGGTTTCGGACTGTTTTGTGTGGTCATGGCAAGACAAGCGAGAGAACCAGAAACGAATCCTAAATGACTTCGAGGAAAACACGGCATGGTGCCACTGGTGCCATAAATTTCTTAGAGTTTCTGGGGAAGAGACACCTACTCTAAAGCCTATCCGGTATCCGTAAATGGGTCTGCTGTTAAGTCTATGCTACTCACCTATGTCATAACAGTTGAATTTAAAGTAATTCCTATTTCAGTGTGAGCTTGATGATAAAAGTAAAGGCCTGGTTCTTTTACGACTGAATTAATCTACTTCCCCACCAAATGACCGTTTCTGAATTGTTGATGACCAAGCAAAGTTGCAAAGAATTCTCCCTCTTTTTAGCGTAGTTGGCCACTTCAGAAATGTTTCAGCGGTACGGCTGGTTGTCTGGTATAAGTGAGTTCTGCTCTCGATTACTGCTTATAAACCATGATGGTTTACACGATTGTTATACATACCGGTATGACGGTATGACTCCTGTAGACAATGCCCCAACCTTGAACCTTGAACCATGCTTTACGCTTTTTAATAGTAATTTCCTATTACGCCTGGTTGCCTTACAGAGTACAGTACGGTAACAGTCCAGGCCGTACCGGTACCGTAAAAAGTATATAACCAGTTCCATACCATACCAGTGCTACGGTACCGGAACCGGTGCGCACCTCTCCATGGTGGAACGAAGAAAGTAGAAAACCAAAGGAAATAGCCAAGGAAATAATGCTACTACTAGTAGTATCGTATCTTGAAAGTACGGTATGTTGACCAGCTGGTGGCCAGAAAGGAAGAATCTAGCTACTAGCTAGCCTATCAAAACTATCAACATTATTATTGATTTTGACCTTTTATAGTACTCTGGAAGAGTACCGTTGCTAGATAGTAGTATAGCCCCTGAAATGGGAATCATGATAATGCTTGTGTGTTTTGTTGTCAAAAGAAGCGACGCTCTGGAGGCAACAGGTGTGTGAGCCACAATCATCTACATCCAGCAAGACAATACTGGTGTAGCAGAGCTTGTAGCAGGATGGACAAGGCCAATGCACGGCCAGTAGCTATTTGATCATTCTCAACAGCAGCCAAGTTGCTTCTTTGACCTCTTGCTCTGTCCTGTGTCATTGCACACAGTACTATTACCGTAATACTGTATTACCGGTTGTACGGTTCTGGTACCTTGTGTTGTGGGAAGTGGTCGGCGGTACCGGGCCTCCAGGCCCGGACCCGCAGTTGTTCGTACTGGTACTGCTTCGTTTGGCTGGTTTGAACGAAGGGCTGCTAGCTGGATGTACATGCAATGTAGCTAGAGTATCTGGCTAACTCGAAGATACTGAGTGCTCTAGAGCAGCTATTAAACCCTACTCTCCTTGTAGTACAGCTGGTACCTGGTACCAGTACCGGTACTGTTGCAAGGGTAAGAAACTTACTTCTTTGGTTTGACAGCCAAACCTCCACGCATAATCTTTACCGTTGAGCTTACCGGTGTGATACCCTAATAGCCAGCTTAATAGCGTTATCATCATGCATCTTGCGTTTCTTCACTCGGAATGATAATTAAATAATTATTAAGAATCAGGACAAGAAAAGAACTCCAGTCCCCAGGGTGAAAATTTAGCAGCAATAGTGGTGGCAATTTGCAAGATTAGATAAGCTTAGGTCAAGATTGAGTGAAGTGTTGACAGTCCATAATCCAGCTACAAAAAGTGATTGATATGGGTTCTTTTCTCGGCAAGACATTCAATTAGGCACGACCGTGATACCCACATACAATGCTGGAACTTGATTACTGGTTCCCTGAAGGTAAAAGGGCCTTCTCAATAGTCTTGGAGAACGCAGTAAAAGAAGCTCCCATTGTCAATTGATAATACTAGAGTACTTTTTCAACTTCCAGAAGTTGCAGTCTAGGCCCTTCTTTGTATCTTCCGAAAATTACTAACTCACTTTCGTTTGCCTTCTCTGGAGCACACAAGCTTCAGCAAATTCCAAAAGCGGTGAAGAAGACCGCATCTAACCATCAGCAAAATTCGAAATCAAATCAATTTATTATTGTTGACCAGACCAGCACAGCACAGGCAACGTTGCTGAGCCGAAATCCGAACATCTCCTTGGTCTCTTCCCAACTCTTCTCATAATCCTCTCCCTCGTCACCCTTGAAAGAGTCTCCTCCCAATCCCATACTTTCTGATACCGAGACACAAACTGCATTTGCACAATTCAATTCGCAACATACTACGCACACAGTTAGTTAGTCAAGTCTAGCTAAGCTTTCAATAAACTCCCAAGTCTCTTTTTAAAAGCCAAGGTAAGAAGAGACAAAGACGAAAGACAGACAAGGCGCTCTCTTCTTGTTGTATTGATTCGGTCTCTCACACTGTGCTCTTCTCTTCAGTCTTCAAGATGACAACCGAGAACCTTCCAGCCGCCACCGCCATGAAATCGAGCGCCACCGGCAGCAGCGATGCCGAAGCCCGCGCGAACTTGTTTCCTCAGTACTTGATGAAGTTGCTGAATGATGATGTGGCTCCCGAAGCACTCTGGTGGTTGCCTGACGGCAAAGCGTTTGCCATTGACCCCAAAAAGATTGACGGACAAGTCCTGGACAAGTACTTTCAAAAGACCAAATACTCGAGCTTTATCCGCAGGCTTCACAATGAAGGGTACCGAAGACAGACGCGTAAATACAAGAAAGTCGATGGTCTTACGCTTCCTGAAGGCACCGTTGTCTTGAGCCACGATTCCTTTCAACGAGAGCACCCCGAGATGCTCGACAACTTTTACAACAAAAAGACCACGGCTCCTCCCAAGGCGCTTCTCCAAGCCAAGGTCGCCGCCGCATCAGCTGTCTCTACCAGTCCCAGAGATTCCCCCGTCTTGGCAAGTCTCCTCCCCGCCGCGTCCACCACGGCCGTTCGTGAGACCCAAGCCGCTGCGCTCTTGGGCTTGTCGCAAGCGCACCTTCGTCCTTCGGCCATGGACAGCATCTCCCAAGGCAGTCTCTTGGCCGCCTCCTCGTCGTTTGGCACCGCGGCTGCAGCGGGACTCCCTCCCAACACTCTCTCCAAGTCCATTGCCGCGCTTCGTCAAGCGCGTCGTCAACGAGAACAGGAAGAGTCGCTCCGCACCATGATTCTGCTCCAACAGGCCCAAAAGACCCAACAGTCGGGCTTGTTTTCCAACGAACGCTCCGGATCACCCCCAGCCGAAGGCGCTCGCACCCTCTTGGATTCTCAGGTCCAATTGCAGCAGCTCCGGTTCGAAACAAGTCGACGACAGCTGGAAGAGCAAAGTATGAGGCTCGACGCCATGGAAGCCCTGCGACGGGCTGCTTACAGTCAGTGGCCCTAGACTACTAGACGTCTAAAGCGGCCTCTGGGGATCAATCTCTTCAGCGCATCCTTGCCTCCCGCCTCTTTCCTAACACCGTACATGTCCTCCACACACGCACACTACATTGAAAACCAACGTAATCCTTTATGTTCTTATTGTTTACACCAACTACATGTACTAGCTGTAGCGCTTCAAACCAACCTTAGCACCGTAGCCAGCTTGGAACATCATCTTTCATTGAACTAGCTGTAGCGCTTCAAACCATCAGGATCTTTCCAATCCATCAAGAGGGGCTTCCCTCTTTTGGACACCATACATCATTCCAGCGAATGATCTTCAATTGGTTCATGGGGAGTTTTAGAAGTGAGACCTGACGCTTCTAAAACTATCTACTAGTCCAGTCTATCTTGTCCAGTCTGGCTAGGCGAACAAGGAAGCAAAACAGATGAATGGCCTTCCCCAAAAGCATTAGCAGAAAATGTAATAATGCAATGGCTAGCAAACCTGGCACATGCTCGATACCATAACCAACGCCTTCCTCGTACTGCCCAGTTCCAAGTTCCAAACAAAAGCTATTGGCCCCTCTCTTTGACATGCATTGCCATCTTCATCATCATCGTTGCTCTTGCCACAGCACCAGGAACAACAACCCGACCTACCAGGGCTCATTTTCAATTCACTTGAGTTGGGGGGTTGCTTTTGCCGCGCCAAGTAGTCCAAGCGGCATGATGGGACTAGATCTATCTGGTCTACACGCTTGTAAGCTGTGGCGACCCAGGCCTCAGGCTTCATTCTAAGATTATTGGGCCTCAAAGCAAGGGCTCCAATTATTCAATTAGGATTTAGCCTATTGAAGAGCTCTATTCCATATCTCGCTCTATAGACACTCCTCAGACTGTCTTGAATAAATCCCATAGTAAAACTCTCAACAATAACAGCTACTCCGGTACTCCAGTACTCAAGATCCAGTTGTGACCAAGCACTGTGGAGCTCACTGTAGGTGGTTATAACCTACCGATAACCGGTTGACGGTTCATGGTTCATGGTGGTATTAGTTAGGGACAGGTATGGCCATGCGGCTTCTGTAGAAGTTTCTGTGTTTGTGTGCAACGTGGGGCAGCTCGTAGGGCTAACAGTTGCCCACGGTAAGCATTTTTGATAAACCGAAGGAATTAGAAGAGTCTTGAAGAAACCCTGACCTGTTTGTGACAACGTGCTCCCTTCTCCCTACATATTGTACCTGTTCCGAGTATCCAGTCATCCAGTCATACATTGTCATACATCATGAAGCCTACCGGTTGTGGAGAGGGGTGGATGCCAGTGGATGGAGCAGGGTTTTTTCAGTTGGACATTGCATGAAATCGCCGCGGGTGTTGGTTGACATCGCCTACTTTGTGGTTGTGAAAATGGCATCAATTCTAGCTAGCTGGCTGCTAGCTACTCTAGTACTACATGTAGCTTTGACTACCATCCCCCAGCGGCATGCTACCAGTAGCCAAGTGAGTGAAGGGTCTTACAGGCATGGCATCAAGAGCCATCATGCATGCATTCAACGTAGAAGCTGGAAGTTCCTGTGTTTGAGAGCGAAGCAAGCAAGAAGATACATAGACTAATATACTGTATATTAATAGCTCATTTAATTTTATCGGTCTGAGCAGTGACAAGGGCTTCCTTGTACAGAAGGTGTGTGTGCAACGTGCGCCCACGATAAGCATTTTTGCTATTCCAAATGAATTAAAAAGAGAGCTTGAAGAACCACTGCCCTCGCCTCTGCCCTGTTTGTTGTTGCTTGCTCCCCACATAATACATACTCGAGTAAGCTCTGGAGTACATGACATTGTATGTATTGGCACGAGTAGCTAGCCAGATACCGGTACCACAAGATTGCATGGAGGGGTGGGGATGGAGTAGGGGTAGTCTACATTGTCATGTAGAAGGTGGAAGACGGAGGGGTTTGTTTGTTGTTTGGCTTGTACACTCAGTGCATGGGTACAACATCGCTGGCTGCTCAATGGTTGCTTAGACAAGCTACATGATGTAAATGGATGCAAGAGGACGAGCCGAACAGTGATGGTTTCGTGCGTTTCATGCATGCATACTGTAGTAGTAGTATCGGTAGCTGTATCGGTAGAGGATGGCTGCTGTAAAGTGAAGGCAGCAACCAACTTTGGCTTGCAGCCATTCCCCCCGAGTGACTTGCCGCCCGGTACATGCACTGGTATTCTTAGCTATCTGCTCTGCATACGGTGGCTATCAAGCAAAGCTGCTATCAACCACTGAATTCTTGTTCTTTTCTTCTTGCTTCACACTCTTTGACAGGAACTTGCAGCTTCAACGATGGCTGCCTCCTCCCTAGTAATGCTCCTCCCTCCTCTTGACTCGACTCGGCATCTTGCTTGACGCTCTGGCTGTAAGGCCGACCCTTCAGTTTGGCTACTGGCTACCGTATTGTCATCTGACTACTGCATACTCCCTGGGAGGCTTATTCCTACTGTCTCTTCTCTGGCTGCAATAAGATTGGAAGAAAGCAAATTTATTTTTAAAATAATGATGAGCGGACTGTCACGTTGCTTCAGGCTGGCTGGTCCTCCATCCACCAGGCTCCACAGCTTCCTCCACTGATTAGCTGGCTGGCTGGCTGGCTGCCGATACGGTAGTCGAGCAGGTTTGCTTCCAAGCAAAGCTAAAAGGGCGCAATTGGACTAGCTAGTAGAGACATTCTATCTTGGCAAAGATAGATGTTTGTGCATCCTTGCGGTCGGTACCGGTCCTTTGCAATCTGAGCCATGCGGATCGAATCTTTCAATCGAATGAGTTGAATGGATTCGATTCGATTCAATCTTAGTCGAAGAATCGATTCGAATCAACTCTCCTTGTTAGTAAGGTTAAGGTTCCAATCTTAGGTCGTGTTTGAGATTGAGGTGCTTTCCCGCAAGAGTCGTTGGAAAGCTGCTGGCGTGGGCGCACCTCTCCGAGTGAGTGAGTTCGAAGGAGTTGTCAGTCGTCAGTGGATTAAAAGTCAAGTCAAGGAGGAAAAACAGAAAAAAAGACCCAGCAACTGCCAGCCCATCGCGTCGCTTCCGCTGGACAGTGTGAAGGACCTGGCTAGCTGGAGGCTTGTATCGTACCGGTACATATAGAGAGACCATACCGATAGACCATAGCGCTCAATAGCTGTTTGTCATTTTGTTGCTTGGTTGATTGAAGAGCAAGAGGATGACGAATATGAATATGACTTCTGATGTACATGTTGTAGGAGACGAGAACGACGATAGCTTTGGTTCTTTCCTGGAGGACATGGACATGTTTACTCCAATGGGAGGAGGAGGGACACCCAACTTTCTTCTTCAAGATGATCATGAGAGCAACACCAATAGTCCCACACCATTTACTATTAGTAGTGCTCCAGTGGAAGTGGAAATTGAACAAGAGCAGCAAGAAAAATCAGAGCCACAATTGGAAAATGAAGAAAAATCATCAGAAGAACAAAAATCAGAAGAAGATGAAGTAGAAGAGAACCTGTTGGTGGAATTTCCTCGCAGTAAACAAGAAGAAGAAGAGGAAGATGAAGATGATGATGAAGAGAATTCATTGGTGCAAGTCTCTGAGGATGATGATGATGATGAGGAAGATCCTCCAACAACCAGCAACAGCAATAGCAATACTACCAGTAGTAACAACGGCAACACACTGGTGGACACGGTCCGCAAGGGTGCCGTGGCAGTTGCCGGTGGAACATTGACAGCGGTTGGCTTGGTGATGATTCCCTTACCGACTCCCATGGGATGTGTCGTGGCTGGGTCGGGCATGGCATTGCTGGGCACAGAATTTGAAGCGGCCAATCGCGTCATGCAACAAGTACAAGACTCTGCTGTAGCGGCACGTGACAGACTCATTGAACATTGTGAATCCACCATTGAAGATGATCGACTTGTAGAAGATGAAATTGTCGTCATTACAGCACCAGCACAACCAATGGAACAACCATCACAAATGGATCAACCATCACCAAAAGAAGTAGAAAAGGAGGAAGAAGAACTGATCATTTCCGTCGTCAACACGGACGTTTACTTTGAAGACGAAACGAATGATCGAAGAAGACGCAATGGACACAAACCGGCACCACCTCTCGAACCCAACAATCACGAAAAGAATAAATCCATGCTGTCATCTTATATCTATCAACCTTTGCAATCGACACGACAAAAAATTGGATTGGAAACCAGAGGATTCCTCGCCACACGGGTATTGCCCATGTTACAAAAAACAAAACAAATGCAGCAACCAAACAACAATGACGACAGTGACGACAATAACCAGAAATGAATAGAATGACAAAAAAGAAAGGAAAGAAAATGAAATGCATGAACACGTTTTTGATAGAGAGAAAGAAAAGAAAGACCATTCAACGAATTGTAAAAAAGAAAACTGCACACCAATCTCCGTACCGTAGTAAGAGCTAGTAACCATCTACATCATACACACTATAAAAATGCTAATTTCGTTTACAGGCACTAGAAAATACAAAGCTACGTACTAGATTCCTTTTTCCGTCCGTGATGTGTTGCCTGTAAGCATGGGTTCGTAGGAACCGGGGGAAACGTACTAGTACAGTACCAATGCTATGAGGTCAAAATGCTCATTCCCACAACTCTGCAAATTGCACTTTGGCTTTGTCAAGCATGCCTTGGCCACAACACGTACGATACCGATACGATACGACGATACCAGCTACATGCACTGCACAGTGCGGCAGGTACTATTGCTTCCAAAACAGCTCGTCTTCTGCTTTGTGCTCGATGTTTCCATTCGTTTCCATTCGTTTCCATTCGTTCCCGCGTATCTATTTACGAGCTATTGCCGGTCTCACTCGTCTAGTAGAGATACGGTACCGTAGTCCCAAATTCAAAGGCTGGGGTTCTATCGATAGCTAGCCAAAGTTGTACGTACAGTACTTGATGTGTAGATTGAATCGAATCATTCGAACAGAAACTGGTGGCATCCTCTTCCATTTCCCCCCAGAGAATGGGGTGTGGTGGTCTCTCTCACACCCGAAACAAACAGGCTCAGGTTATCATTGTCACCGGTCACTCCTTCAACATCTATCTTGTCATTCTTTTCCATCTTTCTATTTACTTTTCAAGCAGTCTCTCCACTTCTGTTCGCTTGGGCGGTCTGTTCAGAAAAAGCATGTGAAAATGGCAAGAAGAGTGACAATCAAAATCAACATAAGTCAGGTACGGTACTGTGCGTCTCCATCTCCTCCATCAGCCAACCACTTTCAAACTTGCTGTTTCATCTATTGTACCGGTATTGCACTTACGGTCCACATGGTTGCACCATTTTCTCCAAAAACTCCAATCTCACTCGTCCCACGGCCTGGTTTTGAGCCACTGAATAGTAGAACAGTTGATCGTAGTGACCAATGTGACTTGCATACGTATCGCGGTGCTGGTTCGTCAGGAATTCACTGACAAAAACAGAAATAGTACAAAAGAGAGAGAACGTTAGTTGGAAAAGGTTTGCAGTATGTGGAAAGGGCACAAAAGAAGGAACTTACTGCTTGCTCATATCAGCGTGTCCTGATCAAACAAACAAGCAATCAAACAAAAAATGACATTAGGACAATTGAAATCATCCTGCAGGACAGTCTTCAATTGAAGGACCACCATACCGGTATGCATGGCATCTGACACAAAACTACTAACTACATGTACACTAACTCACCTGTCCCCACGTATCGCGCCTTGAGCTGTTCGGCCGAGATGCTTCCTCCTCCTGGGGCACTCATCTTCAATAGCACTACTATAGTATTGTTTCAAAGGAACTGACTTTTCTTGCTCTACTAGCTGGCTAGCTCTTGTACAGTACAAGTATTATAGGACTTGTACAACACAACAAGCAATGAAGTCTGTGTGCTGTTGCTGTTGCATGGACTTCGAATGTTGGGAGGGGCGCCGGTGGTCAATAGCTCGAACCCTAAGGGTTAAAGGGACGAGACGAGAGCGCTTGCTTTCGCTGTTCTCGGCGCCTCGAACCTCGAAAGCGGGCCTTGCTTTTCGGTCACCGGAAGTGGAGTGAAGTCGAGTGACAGTCGGAGCGCTCCAAACTACCGTACAACCATTCTATACTTTGTCTGTCTGTTCTCAAACAATTGCAACCACAGAGCGTTTTGCTAGCTAGCTACGAATACGCACCGTACCGAACGATGCCATTCAAATACAAGCCCCACTGCAAAGAAGTTTGCTGGTTTCGTCGGATGCAATGTAGCTCTGGCTGGCGGTGCGTCGAACGTACCCGTAGCTCGCTCTCGTAGTGCATTTTGTCAAACGAAGGCTTTCCCAACTCTCCTCGGTTTCTAGCTAGCTACTTTTGTGAATAGTTGAAGATGCCTGCGCATGGCTGGCTGTGAGTGAAGGCCAGTACGTGCGGTATGCTTCGTCTTCATTGAATGTAATGACCCCCCACCCTCAAGCCATGCATGCTACTTGCATAAAAAGGAATCAATGACAGCGTGCACCAACTTCTTGCACGTATGTGCCCCTGTACATGATGACACTATCCTGGCCATCACATGGCTTCGGTCAGTTTCCAGCTGAGCTCTGGTCTCTCAATGTGCTGGACAAGCCTTGCGTACAGCTCTCTTGTCTCTAGCTAGAGCCTGCTCTGACAGGTCCACCAACTTTGATGCAATCCATAAGTTGACCAGCAGCACACCAGAATCGAGCATTGCACATGCAGTTGGACTTGACACGCACTGAGGGATCGCTACAAACGATCGCTACAAACGATCAAAACACACGAATGATTCCATCGCGACACGTGAAACTTGGAGGGTTCGTGTGTTGCCAATCGGGAGAATAGATATGAATAGGCGCTCAAAATGGATAACTAAGGAATAGCCAAGGCTAGGTTTCATTTGTTCGGTTCATGGACCATGCCTCAATAGTTTTCATTCATCAGAGTGCCATTTCTTGTAGAGGATTTGATGCACCGTCAGTACATGCATCAAAGAATCCAGCGGGGCCACAGACAGCCAAGCAATACGATAATCCTTTCCCGCTCAATCAGGATCACGTCTTAGGCAGCTTCGGTGCTCACAGCCAAACGGCGGTAGCGGCGATCGTCATTGCTGTCGTCATCCTGAAACAGTTGTTGAGCAACACGGAACATAGTCAGTGACGGCATCTGCACTGAGAAGCAGTCGATTGCACAAATTCAACTTACTGGATAGTAGTCATCGTCGTAGACATCATGGCCTCCTTTGCCGCCTCCTTTGCCGCCGCCTTTGCCGCCGCCTTTGCCGCCACCTTTGCCACCTTTACCATCCAAACGGCGGTAGCGGCGATCGTCATTGCTGTCGTCATCAGGAGCCTGAAATGGTTGTCACGAAAAAGAGTCAGCAACAGGTAAACATCCGCACAGAGAAAAAGGCGGTCGCACAATATTCAACTTACTGGATAGTAGTCGTCACCACAGGAGCTTCCACCCATCATGCCAGATTTTCCACAGCTGCGGCTGCCGCTCTTTCCACCCAATCTGCGAACCAGCATGCGTCGCCTCATAGAACCACTCATCGAACCACTCATCATCATACCCTTTCCAGAGGTAGGAGCAATAGTCGGTGCATCACTTGGTGCGTCACTTGGTGCTGCAGTGGGGGCCGGAGTCATCATCATTCCCTTGCCAGAGCCCATCATGCCCTTGCCAGAATCTTCTTCCTCTTCAGACTCGTCAGACTCATAGTACCCAAGCTTTCGAGATCCCATCATGGAACCACCGGACATCATGCCTCCATCACTCATCATTCCTTTTCCGCCTTTTCCAGTCGGATAGTAATCATCGTAGTGGTGGTAGTCATCTCCGTGTGGGTAGTAGTAATCATCGTGTGGTGCATAGTCATCGTGGGGTGGCGCGTAATCATCTCCATGTGGATAGTAGTGGTCGTCTCCCTCCGGAGCAGACATCATGCCACCACTCATCATGCCTTCACTCGACATCATTCCACTGCTCATCATTCCTCCTTTGCCGCCCTTACCGGAAGGGTAGTACTCGTCGTCGTATTGGTGGTAGTCGTCGCCAGGTGGATAGGAGTAGTAATCATCGTGGGGCGGGTAGTCATCCTCTGGAGCTGGAGCAGACATCATACCTCCAGACGCTCCAGACGCCATTCCACCGCTCATCATTCCTCCTTTGCCGCCCTTGCCAGAAGGATGGCTGTAGTCATCGCCATGCGGATAGTAGTAATCATCGTGGGGTGGGTAGTCATCCTCTGGAGAAGGGGCAGACATCATGCCTCCAGTCATCATTCCTCCTTTGCCGCCCTTGCCAGAAGGATAGCTGTAGTCATCGCCATGCGGATAGTAGTAATCATCGTGGGGTGGGTAGTCATCCTCTGGAGAAGGGGCAGACATCATGCCTCCAGACATCATTCCACCGCTCACCATGCCACCTTTGCCGCCCTTGCCAGAAGGATAGTAGTCATCGCCATAGTGGTCGTCATGTGGTGGGTAGTCATCCTCTGGAGAAGGGGCAGACATCATGCCTCCAGACATCATTCCACCGCTCACCATGCCACCTTTGCCGCCCTTGCCAGAAGGATAGTAGTCATCGCCATAGTGGACGTCATGTGGTGGGTAGTCATCTTCTGGCGCAGGAGCAGACATGCCTCCAGACATCATTCCACCTTTGCCGCCCTTGCCAGAGGATAGTAGTCATCGCCATGAGGGTAGTAGTGGTCGTCGTGCGGGGGGTAGTCGTCAGTTGGATCACTCATCATGCCTCCGCTCATCATGCCACCATTTCCTCCTTTGCCACCCTTGCCAGAAGGATAGTAGTCATCGTAGTGGTGGTTGTCATCGCCACCTGGATAGTAGTGGTCGTCGAACGGGTCGTCGTCGTGGTAGTAAACGTCATCGTGAGGCTCAGGGCCACTCATCATGCCACCGCTCATGCCACCACTCATGCCACCGCTCATGCCGCCGCTCATCATGCCGCCTTTGCCGACCTTGCCTGCAGGTACTGGTTCTGGCACGTAGTGCTCCACAATCTTGGCCTCTTCGGGAGAATCGTAGTTCATGGCGGCAGGAACGGGAGGGTAGTCTCGGTCAGCTTTGGCCAACGTCGCCATGGTGGCAAGAAAGACTGCAATCTTCATGGTGTTGATTCGATTCTTCTTGATTGTGCAATTGAAGGTAGAAGGTTGTCGCAAAGTGCAAATCAAGAAAATTGTGACGACTTCGTAGCCTTTTGGTTACTCCTGATGCGAGACCCCAACGCTTGGACGTCTTGAGCAAGGGCTAAACGGATCAGACCTCAGGACTGTTATCCCATTCAAAAGGTTTGAATTGGGAAAGCACGTGTGTTCCGCAGTCGCTCGGAATGACAAAGAGAGGAACCATTGCCACACGAGATATTTGGTCGGAATCAAAAGCATTCGTGGCAACCTAAAGTAGGATGTCGAATTCTCATTGACGTGCGATTCGATCAAAGCAAGGGATGAATGAATTGACGATAGATGTGCATGAGGTTGTCTCTCAATGATAGTGACCGCGCCAGAATTCCAATTTTCAAGTCACAGGGGATTGAGTGGTTGCAACAGTGGTTCGACTGGCGGCATCGGCTCGACTTGAAAGTTCCCCACGTGCTTTAACCGGTACAGTAGCCTCGCAATATGTCAACGATACCGTACAGCCGCCCGTATGCATAGCAGCTGCAAAGCCCAGTAATGAATACATATGGTACTACTAGTAGAGTTTGGGGTTGAAACACTACTAGCTAGTACAGTACATCTCTTCGCACATTTGCCTCCACCTTGTTTCATGGCATTCTTGTTGCATCTTTCGTGCCAACTCCGAGCTGACGCGTCCTCTGTCTCTTGGCTGGCTTATCTCGACTTTTTGTCTTGCTCGTCGTCCTCAGGATCGGGCAAGAGACTCTCGTGCCAGATTTGAAAGGACCACAGATAGCGTCCATCGGAAGTCTTGCAGAGACATTGAATGGGTTGTCCATTGAGCACGGGTGCCATGCCGACATTGGCAACTCCCAAATCCAACGAGTAGGTTGCCACATTCAATAATGATTGATAAAAGTCAAATGTGTATACCGTTTCGGTATCAAAGTTGTACTGTGCCGCCCGTGTGGGACTGGCCAAATGGAGTTTGCGACCGGCGGTACTGATTTTGCCCGTACTGAATTTCCCCCCAAAACAGGAACAATCTTCCTTGAGATCCGCCGAGCTACAAATATCCGGTTCATTTCCGGGTTCGTCTCCTCGTACGACTTGGGACGTGGCGGCCATACTGGCCAACATGGTGGGTTCACTCCCCACAACTTGTATTTCGGCTCCCGGTGCCAGTTTTCCAATCAAATTGGTGGCCGCTTTCAAGATCCACGGATGTGGTAAATTTTGCAATGGTTTGACAAATTCGTGTCCAGTCAAAACATTGTTGAGCGGCAATGGTTCTTTGAATCGTCCCTGAACGACCGTCTGAAAGAGTCGACGTCGTCCATTAAAGTAGGCCGCGTCTCCTTCCGGATTGTCACTGTGAGGGACGTGTTTGAGTCGAATCAAACACTGCCCTTCGAATAGATCGGAGGAAAATCGAAATGGTTGCCCCAAGGGCAGTGCTCCTAGTTGGTATTCGGGCACAAAAAGGCTGGGATCGACGGGTGTATTGACACAACAAAAGACGGGCCGATGCGGCCACAGAGACGGATCCGGAAGATCATTGGGTTGCCGCTGCTGAACTTTCTGGACCAACTTCAAATGAGAGGATTGTGCTCGCACCAATAGAGGTTCTTTGAGTATAATGCTGCTTCTGGCTTTGCGCATCATGGCCCGTCTCGATTTTCGGGGATTGAACGGTTGGTCGTCGTCGTTGTCCAGCGGAAAGTCGCGGGTCAATGCCACTTCGTAATCTTCCACAGCATCGGTTCCTTGAGATGCTTGTACGACACAAGAATCGAGCGCCAACCATACCGAGAACAGGTCTCTACCTTGCCGCACAAAGGCGCCAATGAGGACCGTACCAGTAATGGCCGTGAGGACGACAATGCCCGTGGTCTGATGCAGCGATGGAATAATGACGAGGAGTGTATATGCCAGTAGTATGAGCAATAAGAGCGCCGTGGCTGCCACGGTCTGTATGAGTGAAATCGTGGCTTGATGGACAATTTCCAGTTTGGTCTGCACGGCCACTTGTGTTTCGGTCAATTTCAAAATGGAATCTTCCATTCGATCGACGCGTGTTTTGTGCGACACCCATTCGTCGGATCCTTGCCAAATAGTCTCGACGTCTCTTCGTTTCAACTGTTTGCCCGCTGTCATGGTCTTGGTCCCTTGTCGATTGGCCAATTGGATCTTTGCCACTTGCCATCGTGCGCGGGCCACTTGCTTGTCTTGGACAAAACAAAAATACAACATTTTTGTTTGGCGGGCTTTGAATGGTTTGTTGGGATCCACGACGTGTTGAATATAGCCGCACTCGCGGAGCGCATTCAATTTGGTCACGGCGGCATCTTCACTGCCACCCGTCACTGTGCGCATCATCCAGCTCACAGCGTCCGAGTGCAAGAAACAATCGGGATACGTCTTGGTGCGCCATTTACGGTCGCAAATCTCCACGCCGCCTTTCAACGATTGCGCCAACTCGGCTAGTTCATCCTCCAGGCTGCTGCTGCTGATACTGCTGTCCATTATTATTCGAGATGTATGTATACAGATAGACTGCTGGTGGTATGGTTGCAATTGGCTACCAGCACTCTCAATGAATGATGAGCAGCAAAGAAACAAGAAAGATCCGATGATCCAGTAATGCCACAGATCCAAAGAGCCAGAATGCCGCTTACTTCAGATGAAAGAGTGACGACGAGTCATGCGTCAGGGTGCTGCGTCATGGATTTTGGAGAAAAGACAGGTTCAGTCTTAGAAGGGTAGTTAAGGTAAATATTCGTAGTATCTCAGTTCTGCAAACAATGTGCTCCACAAGCAGCGTTTTACCCCATTCCAGTATTGTTTTCGGCAGTTCCCACTGGTTGTTCCGCGCCCTTAAAAAGCAGTTTCCCTTGCATCTACAGTGAACATGTTCGTCGAGGTTCCTCAGGCCTCATCGATCAAAACGAGGAGGCAGGCGCAAAAAGCCTCTTTTTCTACTAGCAAGTATCTCGATCGATTGCCATTGAAAAAGCCGATTCGATTCGATTCGATTCAAAACACAAAGACCGTGCGTTCATTCCGCTGCCTCCACTCTCCCTCATGCATATAGTCCACTCTAATCCGAAGTAACTTCTTTCGCACAGCTAAACCCTTGCATATCCGTGCTGTGCTCTCGAGCAAATTCATGTTCCACAACGACCGTTCATGTCGTGACAATATTAATGAAGCAGCCATCGGATCACGTCGAGAACAAAGCTCGTCAACGCGAAGAACACGGAGCGAGTCAGGATGATGAAGATCATGGTTCAAAGTATGTGGAGCAAGAGCAATGGAAGGAACTGATAGCAGTGGAGGAATCGAAGGAACTGAATGAATGGTACCAAGAACCAAACGAGTTTTCAGAGTTGGCACCAGGCTACCAGCGACGGGACAACGAGACGACGGATCCGTTCCACGACGGATTCTCCCCATTTCCCGATATCATGGATGACATTCAACCACTACCAGACATGGTTCCACCATCTCTGCACAGTGGAGGGAGCGGGACCAGAGAGGTCGAACCAGGAGCCTACGCTTTGGGTGGCGGAATACGACCAGCGTTTTATCGACCAAGAACAACATCTGTGTCAAACACAGCAGCTGCTGACTTGATAGCACCGGGAATAGAATTGGTGCCTATAGATACAGATACAGATACAGCTCCAAATGCTGCACTGGAGGAAGGACTTGTTCGCGCACAGCCCGTGGAGGAGGATGTGGAATGGGGAGACCTACCGGAAGCAGAACCAATGACTGAGCGAGCAAAAAAGCTATGGAAAAAGAAGATCTGCTTATCCCTTACAGTGGAAATGATGGTCGGAATCATCATGATACTCACAACCACTCTTGCAGTTGCCTTCAGAAGCAGTGACCACGATGAATTGCAACAAGCGACTGGGATTGTCAATATTCCAACAACATTAACAACAACAACAACAAGCCTGGAAGCCACAAAACACCCAGCTACCTCTACCATGGATGCCAGAATAGTGGCACTCAATCTACCTGACTACACTGTGGAGGCTATGCAAGATCACGGATCTCCACAACACAAAGCATATGAATGGATTTTGGCCAACTGGACCAACATTGAAACCTATCCAAGCTGGAGACTGAAACAAAGGTTTGCCCTAGCAACACTTTTCTACTCAACTAGGGGTCAACATTGGGTAAATCATCATGGCTGGTTGGATTGGGAAACACATGAATGCCATTGGGAACAGAGTCTCATTTACTCCAAAGATGATGCTGTGCCCTGTGACAATTCTGGCCACATGCAAAGCTTGAGATTTTTTAATACCCAGTTGGTTGGAACCATTCCTCCAGAGTTGTCTCTGTTGAGTTCCAGTTTGGAACGTTTGGATCTACAAGGCAACCTGCAATTGACAGGGCAACTCCCAACAGAGATTGGACTTCTCAGGAAGCTATCAACTTTGTGCATATTACAGACAGATTTTTCTGGAAGTCTACCAACTGAGCTGGGTCTGTTGGAAAGATTGGAGTATCTTGGGCTTGGTTCAAAATCAACGACCGGAAATGTTCCATCAGAGCTGGGTCAGTTAGGCAAATTAACTGATCTATCATTTCTGGGGATGGCATTAATAACAGGTAAGCTTGCACTCAATGCACAATATCTTCTTTCCCCAGGGCTGTTCTGCTCACTTTATCATTGGGAATCAGGAACTCTTCCTACTGAAATTTACAAACTGCAATTTCTGTGGGTATTTCTTGTTGATGACTGCCCTGGGATGGATTCTTCATCTATCTTGGCTGCTATTATCACCAGTGAAATGGCGCGGCTTAAAACGCTTGTGCTTAAAAACAATGGATACAGGGCTGGTGCTCTCTCAAGTAAGTTTGAACTTTTTGGGACCAAGACGATTTCCACTGATTTGTTTGCATGGTAACACTAAATCGCTCTTTGTGTAGTGCCCTTTTTTCCAGCGGACATTGGAAGGCTCTCTGAATTGAGAGTACTTTATCTCAATGGCTGTCAGTTGCACAATGCCATACCCAGTGAGATTGGATCGGGGACAAGAAAGCTGGTAAGAGCAGCGAGGTATGCGCATGATAGAAGCATTGTTTGTGTCTCAGTATCATTTTTGCTGGTTGCTCCTTCCAAAATAGACATCACTATATCTAAATGAGAACCACCTGTCACAGCAACTCCCATCAGAGCTGTTCATGCTCACAGGTATGTATCCTTGTGCAATGCCGTTCTCCATTGCCTTGATATGTAACTCACCTTTTGATCTTGCATTCTGATAGATTTGAAGTATTTGAGTTTATTTTCCAACCAGTTGACTGGAAAGATCTCACCGAAGTTGTTTGAAAACCTCAGGAAGCTGGAGCGCTTCATCATCAACAACAATCAGTTTTCGGGTTCTCTTGCCACTGAGATTGGTTTGTTGTCAAACCTTAAAGAGTTAGATCTGCAATCCACCGCCCTGTCTGGGACTCTACCATCAGAACTGCTGGCCTTGCCAAATTTGAATGGTCTTTCAGTTGCCAATACTTCTCTATCCGGCAGAATACCTGATGGCCTCTGCAGTGCTCTTTACAGGAATGAGTTCGAATGCCATGACGCACATGGATGTTATCCAAAGAAAGCCAAGACAGATGTATGTCAAGGAACAACCTTGTGTGGTTGCGGCTGTGCTCCTTGCTGATAAAATGACCTCCTTTGAGTGCGTCAGACACCTCTAAACGACAGCAACTAAGCGCCACAAGCACATTGGATCCAAACTGCTGTCTTTCTCTCTTGCAGGCTTGGGCGAAAAGCATGGAAACAACGAAACTCGTGGAAACAACGGATACTCACTGAACAACTCTAGGATTTGTGCCCACTTTATGTTTCTAAACACTTCCAAATACCGGTAGTTTTTCTTGCAAGCTTACAAAGATAGTAAAGATAGTAAATGGCCACGGATGCGTCATTCATCTACACAAATGCTCGAGCCCATTCTTCTCGTCCAATGCCAGGGTAAAATGCGTCACGGAAATCTTGCCAATCAATACGATCTACAAGCCAATCTCCAGATACGGAATCTTGTTGCAGGTCCCATCCTGAAACCACCAATAGTTCACCATCATTTCGATCATAGAGGCGGCATTCCAACCAGCATCTTCCATCCCCTCCAGTTTCTACAGTGTCACTTGGAAAGTCAGCCACATAGGACTCATCTGCCTGTCCCAGTAAAATGGCAAATTGACTGTTGTGGTTATGCATGGCATGAGCCAATGCGCCAGCGACAGTGTTCTCATTGGCTCCTGCGGGTGCTCCAATGGCATCATAGATTTTGCTGCGCCATTGATGGGTGGACGAATGGAGCAACAACTGGATGCATTGATGCGCGTCGTCATCCTTCAGCAGTGCCTCCAGCAAATCGGCCACGACAGCTCGAGGGTTCTTGGTAGTAGGATTTCCCAGAGTGACAACATCTTCCATGGAGGCAACTTGGAGAATGACAGGACGCGTGGGAGATGTCGGCGGTGTTACAAAGGCTGAGACTGATGTGCCCCAAAAGATGAACGAGAAGAGAGCAATCTTCATGGTAGTAAGTAAGTCGCGTAGCAGCGGATGTTTTGATTTGAGATGAGCTAGGATTCCAAGGGGAGGATGGACTGTTCAAATTTTCATTTTATGAGGTCAGGACGAACGATTGTAAGAGCTGGCTAGCTAGCAATCTGCAATGAGAAGGGATCCATGGATCGTTTGAAGAAAGTAACATGGTGAAGGAAGTGGAAAGAAGAGAAGAGTGGGAGCATGCAGCCAGATCTTCTGTGGCAGCAGCGGAAGATTCTGCAACAGATTGGTTTTCGTTGGTCGATTTTGTGAGCACCTTTGTTCCAATGCGATCATTGGTTCGGTTCGTGTTGCTTTCGAATAACAGAAGAGAAGGGTTCTCCTTACCCATGCAGTCGTCCCTACTTCCGATGCGCTCGCAGGAGTGCAAGGCAAAGGAACTGGCAAAGTTTCAATTCCGCTGATGTGGTTTTAATACATGTAATAGATGGCATTGCCCTGGCTAGCTAAGAGCTAAGATAGAAGAGAGCTCACGAGGATAACATGAAATGGCAGCAAATGAAACGATGACCTTGATTTGCCCACGAAGTACTGGTACCGATTGCGCCGCAGAAAGAGACGAAATCAACGACAACACAACATGCAGAGCGGTGCCGTTATCCACGGGCCAACGGGGCTCGACAACACCAGTCACGTTTGGTGTCCTCTCCATTATCAGATTCGTTTGCCTCCTGTCAGTGTTTTCGGTGATGATTGTACAGCTGCATTTGATCTTTGACAAGATTGTTCACTCCACTAGTGATACGAGGAATGCATCCATAAATTGCGATCTCGAGATCTCTCACTTGCCACCACCAACGGCTATCACGAAGACGGTCTATCGAAAGATTCGTCTGCCAGCTCAAACCATCTATCAGACCATTGTCCAGAATGTAACACTGCCACCCAAGATCGTTTACGTGACGCGCAACTTTACTCGTATCGAGTACCGGTACCGCAATGGGACATCTTCGGACATGGAGAACCCTCGCGGTCGTCGTCGACACGATCGACGAAAGTTATTACCATTGGAGCTGCCTTTTGTTACCAAACAAGGCATGATGATTGTGTTTTTAAACATCCCTTGGACGGGAGGAAACATCATTCGCCAACTTTTCCGGCACCATCGCGATTGGCGCTACATTCATCCAATGCCAATGCCACCACAATCAAGCAACGATGAGATCACCAGTACGCTTCAAAACTGGATTCCAGGCACCAAGCTCTTTTACGAACACATGATTGTGGATGGAGAAAATGAACCTTCCATGATGGATTGGAAGGTTCGAGATGACCTGAATCGCTGGCGGGCCATGGCAAGGATTCGCAATATTCCATTCTTTGCCTTTACGATTGTTCGTAATCCAATCGGCTTTGTTGCTTCTCAGTTCCGAGAAGCAAAACGAGGCAGCTCGGGTGGTGATGGCCCGACAAGCGAACAAGAATTTCTCCACCTCGTGCAACCCAACCCGCAGTGTTCATCGTATTGTGCTCGTCGCTGTTCCCACGAGATAACGTCGAGCCACAACAACAGGAGTCACAGCACCCAACAGGATCCTCACAACAATCAACAAGTACTGATCGAAGCACCATCCGACCTTCAAAAGTGCAAAGCCGTCTATGATGCTTTGAAGCAAGATCTAGATTGGATCGGGACCACGGAAAGATTGAGTCGAGAAACTCTTCCGATACTGCAACAAATGATTGCCAATGTGCAGCCGGATCCGGTCGTCACGTTTCGGGATACGGATATCGAAGACGTGCCCGCAAAATCCAACTTCAGCGAAACAGCCACTGCCCATGTATGGAATGCCACTCGAGGAGACAACCTCATCTACCAACGAACCCTTCAAGACTTCCCCGTAACCATGTGGATGAACTTTCGTCCTACAGCATTCGTTCCAGATGGAACCAATGATGTGTAGCTAAGCAATCTTTTGCAGCCAAAGACAACGGTTCGGCCCTACGGGCCGTAAGTACGCTAACTAGCGATGTGCCGCCACGACCTATGGGATGGCCAGGCCAGCAACGTTTTCCCCTTCCAGCCTGGCAAAATATGCAGTACCAGCCATTGTGGCATTTTTGTGATTGTTTAAGAATAGCAGGCTCTGGATAGCTACTCTAGAGAAACCATCGAATTCTTTACAAAACCATGCTGCTGTCAACAAGTTTATTGAGTAAAGACACAAGAAAGAGTGTAGAGTATTAATTTAATTAAAGAAGGCAAACTTTTATAAACAAGTGGAACAAATGACTGGAGGACTTCAGATTTCACCAACAGTGGCTGAAATGGAGACACCTCCATTGCTCAAAACCACATCAATTATACAAAGAAACCTTCCAAAGAGGCCACTGCACCCTGCCACCAATCGAGTGCCCTACTAACAATGTTTGTCTGTGCGGGGCTTCCACCAGTCCCTAGGTTGCCAACTTGAGGCAAAGGATTCAGGATAGGTGAAAATGTGGGAAAGTCAGTTTGTCCCCACATTTGGACAAGTCCATGGTCTGTGTCAGTTCCATCATAATGGGGCGCTGCAACAAGGACTTTGGTCCCATCTCCAGAAACAGCAACACTCTTTCCCAACCTATCATTTAGCTCAATTCCATCAATATCGAAACCTTGGGCCCTGCTGATCTCTTGAAGGACCCAGTCAGTGCCATCAAACGTGTAGATACGAGCGTAACCACGAAATTTTGCTGATCCAGCCACAAGGGTTTTGCCATCATTGGATAAATCAATGGAGTACCCAAATTCGTCTGATTGTTCATCTCCAATGAGATCACTATGTATACAGGTATCACAAGATACAGGGGGCAGAGTCAAGCCAGTCATCCAAATAAAAAATATACAAGGTATGCACATGTCACAGTCCTCAATGCTTACCTTCCCAATTGGCCCCATGTTGCACCAGTTCTTCGAAAGACTTGAACCTTGCCTACTTGTGTAGCAACATCAAGCACATCATACCCAGGAGAACCAACTGCAATGATGCTTCCATCATAGTTTAGAGCCACCGAAAAACCAAAATTTTGCTGGATAGTTGACCCGAACATCGCTCCACCACCACGAACAACTTGTTGGATGCTGCCATCACTGCGGTAAACACGGCATTCACCAAACCTTGTGGAGTCATTGTCAGAGATTCCAGACCCGGGCATTCCAACAGCAATCCAGTTGCCATCCCCAGAGACTGATACAGACTTCCCCAAATCTGCGAAGTCAGTTTCTCCATACAGCCCAGAAACAACAGTGTTGAAATCAGGACTGAAATATGTCTCAAGCTCCCAGTCAGTGCTGTTCCAGAAGTAGGTTGTTGCAAACCCATTCAAGTCTACCATTGGGCTAGAATGAAGATGAGCCCCAACTTGAATCTTGTTTCCATCTGCTGACAGAGAAATGGCAGAACCAAAGGAATAAATTGCTGAGCCATCCAACTCAAAACCTTGAATTGTACTGCCTCTTTGCAGCCACATCATTGTGCTTGTGTCATACTGGAACACCTCAACAATTTCATAGACAGAAGAGGAGACAACAACAATACTGCCATCACCTGATATTGCAACTGTAAGTCCACCAGCAGGGACGAATCTGATGGGAAAACCTGTCAAGTCTTGCCCTTTCTGGGTCCATCCATTGGCAGCATTCTCGTAGACACGAATGGTGTCGGTTCCAAATTCGCGCACAATTATTGTTGTTCCTGTCTCGTCGATGGCCACAGACTCTCCAAAAAATCCCCTAAAGAGACCTCCCACGAGATTTCCTCCAAGAATGACATATCCACTGATGGGAACCAACCGACGATGCTCCGCATTCAGGTCTATGATTGTCAACGCATACTTTTGAGGTTCACTGGTACCGGTAGCATTTACTGACGCAAGGAGAATGGCAGCATGGACACACAGCAGGATATTGAAAATCGACATCATGGTTGACAAGGTTGACAGTTCAATTGGATTCAATTCAACTCGATCAACAGATGGAGAAGTAACTATGAATGATACTAGCTAGCTATCATCAGCCTACCGGTACGGATAGCGGAGACTTCACTCGAGGCGAAGTTTGCGACTTGTTAGCGAGTTCAGCGTTGAGTAAAAAATAAATACTATAGATGAGTGCAGCGTTGATTGATTTGGTATATGCAACGTAGTTCAAGGTGCTCCATAGGATCATCCAGCTGCTACGGCTGTACTACTAGCTAGTACTGTACGGTACGATACCGGTATTACCGGTACAATGTACCCGGTAGGATGCGAGTCGAGTGACGAGTCGAGTCGAGTCGAGTCGAGTCAGTCGAGTCGACAACAATGAGCCTACTATTTCTGGTACAGTGTACAGTATGACCATACTATTTTAAAATACCTGGCCCCGGCTGGCTTCCGTAGATAATTTCCCTACTCTAAAACCCCCCTTATATATTTTAAAATAGCTACCAGGCTACTAGAACAGCTTTTAATGGTACAGTCGTACATGTAGATGCGGTAATCATTACTTCTGAATAATTTACATGTAAACAGATTAAAACCTATCTTTAACCCTATAGTTAACGCATCTACCCATCAGATCAGAGATTTATGGGGCCTTTTCGAGTCCCGATTGAAGTCAAAAGATACTGTAGCATACTAGTATCTTAGATTTTGACACCACCCGCATCAAACCAAAGATAGCAAGTGACAAGATAGCTACTGTACCGTGCAGGTCGAGATCTCCTCGGTCGTCTTGTTTGAAAATGATACTCTCTACTAGTAGCGACCTCCGTGTCAATGGATGGCCTGCTCTTATTGTATTGATCAGCCACAGCTGTTTGTCTCTGTGCTCGGCATTCACAGCGCCTTGTTCGCGTGCTCTTCCGACACGGCAAGCAACCGGTCTTGCGTCTCGACAACCCTCGCAGCTACATGTATTTGGTCTTCCCTCCCTGTTGACATCCGATGTTGACATTGTACCGCTAGATCCGACCGACATTCCATTGGAAAATGCCTTTCAAGACTCCATTTCCTTGACCGATGGCCCCGTGGGTATTCTGGCGGGAGTCTTTGTTCTGTTTATAGTTTTGGCCGTGGCTCTCAAAGCCGTCATGGGACAAATGGACAGCGCCATTGAAAAAGTACTGGCTGATTTCGAGACCACCGTGAAGGCTTACTACCCCGAACGATGGGAGAAAATTGAAGAAGAGGAATTGAAAGGACTCGCCGGTGATGAACGGGACGTCCAATTGCTAAAGGTCATGGAACAGTTGCAAGTGCAAGAGCCAGAATTCATGACGCAAGTTGCCGATCGAAGCACTGCGGAAAAGCCATGAGTGTTTGAATGTCTATAGATATGACTGATGATTGTGGTATAGCTAGGAAGACTAGCTAGCTAGCGATATTCGATCCCTTTTCCTTCACTCGGAACAAAGCAAATCCACATAACACTCATCCCATCCTACAGTCTCTTCAAACAATTCAGCCTGGACCTCAATTAATATAGCAGGCATATTCTGTACTGCTTTTGATTACAAACGGAACCATTGTTCTTCTACACTCTCCGCCTTAGGCGAAGACAGTGCTGCTGTGATGGTTACCAGGTAATCTCTTCTTCTGCCTATTTGCGAGCCATTGACGGCGGTAAGTCGTCACCTATAGTTTGCTGTGAAAGGCTTCTGTATGAGAATGGAGGAAAAGAGCAGAAGCACCAATAGCACTTCTTGTTGATGTTGATGCAGTAGGAAGATGCGTCCTGCGAATCAGAAAATGGACAGCAAACTCGCCTCCTACGCCCATGCAGCAAATACTTGAATAATGAGTGCGCCTCTGAAGCCTGGAAACGTCTTGTGTGCCTGATGCGCATTGGCGCAGTATGCAAAGGTTGCGGAATTCTCGGATGTGGGCAATCCAAGCCATGATCATTGACTTCTTGTTTCGTTCAACCAAATCTACTCCACTCATCCTTCAGCGTTTGAGCTACCGGCGAGTGAAGTCGTTCACGTGAGCTTACAACGATATCAACATCGAGCCTCTTGCAGCCATGCATGGATATAAATAACATGAGTTCACGCAGCCTGCCTCAAAGCCTATACAAAGTCCCATGCTTGTGTAGCTGGAGCAACATCTTTCTAATTTCATTAATGGATGTCTAAGACGTATTCGCAGAACATACCACCGTACCCTGGCGGGCACATACACTCTGTATAGGAACCGGTTTGATTGCCAAGACTGAACACTTGGCACTCGCCGTTGTTGTGGCAGCCCACAACCGTACAGTCCCAGGACTCTTCACAGAGTTTACCGACCTCCTCACTGCTATGGCAATGACACAAACCACCTACACACAGACCTCCGTGACCAAGGCAATCGGAATCAACTTGACAATCAGGTGCATCGGTGCAGTCTTTTCCAGAAAATGGGGTAGGGCACTCGCAAACCCCCGTCGCCTCGTTGCAAACGCCATTGTTTTTGCAACCATTCTGACTACAGTTGTACTGAAGTTCGCACAGGACTCCCAGGGTGTTGGGATCGTTGCAGACGCATTGGCCCGTTGTGGTGTCGCAACTACCATTGTTTTGACAATCGCTATCCACCAAGCAAATTCCTCCGTTGAGTGCCTGATCGACAAGATTGCAGCCAATACCATGATACGGAGGAGAACAGTCGCATGCCTTGCTGTCGGGATTGCAAACGCCTCCGTTGTTGCATCCAAACACGGTACAATCCTCGCGATATTCACAGTTCGAAGAGCCGACCAGTGGAGAATACGGGCAGTCGCAGCGCTGACCTTGACAGGTGCCTTGGTTAAAACACTTGCCCCTTGCTGTATCATCGCAGCTGTATGACTCTTGGCAAAAGGCGCCATACCAAGGTGCGTGACATCGGCATTCCCCCGATACTTCGTCGCAGACTCCCTTACCACCATCACAAGGATGCTCTTGTTCATAACACTTCATTAAAACTTCACATCTGGCGCCCGAGTATCCAGGCTTGCATTGGCATTCTCCAATTTCGTCATGACACGTGCCATTTTTGGTCCCGAGTGGATCGCAGTATCCACCGTACTTGTTGAGACAGGATTGGCAAATCAATTCCGTTTCCAAGGGATGTCCAATTCCAAACAAACTCTTTTCGGCATCCACAATAATGGCTTGGGACCACCCCAAGCCAGTGGGGGATGGCTGAAATTCGGGAGTTTGAAAATCCACCGGGTCACTGAGATAGAGTGGTTTGTAAAAGGCATTGTAATGTCCATGAAAGGATTCCTGCTGGAGAATCTTGGCCGTTTCGTTGGACATGACCTTGTCCCACAGCGCCATCCATTGGAACTCTTCCGTGGCCATGTCGGTATTATCGAAAAAGTCGTTGTCGGTATTGTCAAATGCTTCTTCCTGCGACAAGATCCATCGTCGGCCACCGAAAAAGATGAGCGTCGCGGGCCACTGTGTGTACGAGTAATACACGGGCATGCCGTACGCTCGCACCAGCTCCCCTTGATCGTTGCGCAAGAGTTGGAACTGCGATCCGGCATCATCCAATTTGGGAAACGGTTCGAGAATGCCGTTCAATACCATGGACGGACAGACATCTTCAAATTCACAATCCATGCCAAACCAATTGGAGGGACAAACACAGACCTTGTCGATGCATTCCCCACGACAAATATCGGGATCGCAATCGCGTCCCACCAGACTAAACGAATCAAAGGGATGTAATCGTTCGTGTCGATCTTGAACATTCCAGGGACTCGATGCCACGGAAGTGACATCGTATGTTTTGGTTGTTTCGGACCGTGCAAAAAAGTCATGACAGGGATCGTTGCTCGTGTTTTCGGAAAACGTCCATGCCTTTTCTTGGACGCAATACCCTAGCAATATTTGTTGCGTAATGACATCGCGATAGCGTCGATACCCCGGCGTCCGACCTTCCTCGGAACGAAAGAGTCCACTGTAATAGGGCAACTTGGGATTGTAGGCATCTCCAAATTGGACAAAAACGTAGGACTGCAAGTAGTCTCCTTCGAGTTGCTGACTCTTGTGCCATATATATCCGCCACAAAGTCCAATGAGTGTGACACCGTAGAGTAATCGTCGTAGAACGGTAGAATTTTCTCGTTTGGGTACCTTCATATCGACCACCGCTTCGGCTTGTTCTTGTATTTGACAGGTCACAAATCCCGACTTGGCAATAAAGAATCCTAGGTCATCGACGTCTTGCATGAAATGCAAGGCGGCAAAATTGAGCATGATACTCAACACACTGTCGACTTGCATGGTAAGGACGTAAATGGTGGCCAACAGCAGTGCCCCGGAGATGAATTGCGCCGTGGCGGAGAATAACCATTTTCCATAAGTCGCGCCGGGATGTTGTTCTCGCAACTCCAAGTAGTATCCGTCGTGTAATTTGAGTACGGATTCAATCATGTCGGATTGGTAGGCGACGGCGAGAAAGAGTGTAATGGCTTGTGCAATGGTAACAGTCAAGTCTACCATGGGCGGCAACCCGAGTGGATTGGAAGTGGTCTCAAAGTCAATAATGTCGACCAGAGTCAGTAGAATGACGGATAGTTGGAGGACATAGATAAAGATCCCGTACCAAAAGGCTTGATCATTGACGGAACAGAGATAGAGAATGGTGTAGGTAGATTCTCCGTAGGGTGTATGCCACTCGGTTTCGTCCAGAGTTGCCACAGTACTGACGTTTCGATCGAGTGGGTATTGCATTCGATATTTTGTAGATGCGGTGAGTGCAATGTCCTCTGTTTCTTCCGTTGGTTCGTCCTGAAAGACTTCCGGGGGGAGCAATCCCAAGGACGAACTGCGGCGGGTGGTATCGGCAGTGTGACCGGATCCATCACTCTTTTGACGACAAAACGGTGGCGGTGCTTGTTCTTCGTCTGGTTGTGCTAGAAAGCCCTTGTGGTTTCGTGCATGCAGTGGTGCAGTTGGTTGTCGCTGAACGGCAGCTTCTACGGAGGAGACTCTTCGATGAACGGCGGTCATGTCTTGCGCAATCATTTCTTGCACCATTCGGCGTAGACTCGATTCGGTCACGGTGAACGTTCGTTCTGTAGTAGCCTTTGGAGTGATCTGTTCATTTTGTGATGTCGACCTGGCCACCATGTCTTGAAGCCACTGCGGTTGTCGTTCGTCTTCCTGAACCGGCGACAACATTGGAGTAGTGTGATTACTGCTCGCTCTCAATGAAGAGTGCGTTGAAGAGGACCGCAGATCAGCGTCCCACAGCATGTTGGATGCACTGTCGTCGCGCCATGCCACACTCACGTCCTGCATTGCGTCGTCTTGTGAACTTAGCTGTTGTTGTCTTGACTGTTTCAAAAAGTCTTTCAATGTGCGTTTGGCGTCCAACAACTCGACTCGACTCGAGAAATGAAACAACAATGGCTTTTCACCAAACACAGTACGAGTCAAACGAAGAAGCTCTTTGCCAGATCCTTCCATGTTCATTGACATCTTGTCCAGTTCCAGCCACTTCCACCGCTGCTCTTTTTCCTGTCCTTCTTCACCATGGTCGTCCGCACGAAACGTCAAACAGTCGCTATTCGCCAACAACGTCCCTCGTCTCTTGCGAAGCACCACGGGACGATACGCAGCTGGCTCCAAAGCGGAGGATGATGGCAATGACATGGTGGTTGGTAAAGGACCCAGATTCAAGCTCAGGTCGATGTAGCCAAGGAAGCAACTGAAGCTGTAAATGAAGGGCGACCGTGGGAGCTTTACCTTGACCAGAAAAATGGTGCAAGGTGGATCCATACCGGTACATGTCACACCAGTTACGTCGACGTGATTAGAGCTTCTCTATGCAGTCATCATTGAGGAGAAATAATGGGGATCACCGGACATTGATGAACGACATCAGCGCACTAAGGACTTAGTAGTCACGGTAAATGCATACTTCTCAATAGCCATCGTGTTCACTTCTTCTTTAAAAGTACAGGTATTCATACTCGGTGTTATTAATAGACTAACTTAATTAAGCGAGCGTATGTAACGATGTAATATTAATAGTACAGATGTGCGGTAATAATGTGATTACTCCAAACCTGGCAACAAACATCCTGATACCAGTGCTCAAGATGAGGCAAAATCAACATTTTGACACGTAAACAATACCTCATATCCTTAATGTACTCAAACCTTCAACAAGTGAAGGCTGGAAGTCGAGGCCTTTCTTGCAAAAGCTTTACTAAAAGCTCCCAAGTAGCAGTACCGCTTCCCTTTTCTTCAATAAGAATCTCAATCATTCTAAATAAGTCAAGCTGTACTGTACCGGTACTTGATCTTCGACAACTGCGACTTTACCAAACAAGGGAAGTTCCACCCATAAGCTTTAACCCTCAGAGTCGCTGTGATGTAACATTAACCCTCATGGATTTACATAGAAGTGACCCGTGTGACCCCAAGCGGGACCAATTCACCCATCGCTGCTCAGATCTTTTTTTGTATCTTTCCTCTTTCTTGACATCGAAGAAGTAGAAACAACCCTACCAGAACATACCAGACCAGACAAACATACAAGACAACATATAGTACACGATGAGCGGCAAATACGCATCCGACGATCATCTCGAGTGGGAAAAGCCCGATTGGGCCACCAAGAAACCCATCAAGACTACCGAAACGGGAGCCGCGATACAGAGTGGACAGAATCTGGCCAGTGATATAACCAACGCTGCGGAAGTAGCAGATGAAAAGGGAATTGGATGGCAAAAACCGGCGTGGGCTACGGGAGGACCAAAGTTGAAGAGTACTGCCAAAGGACAGAAACTAAAGGACGGCAAGACCGATCTCGCAAGGCCCATTACGTTTCCCAAGGGAAAGAATTAAAAATTGATGGCACGAGCTGTTATTGATGGAGGAGTTTTCTATAAAGGAGAGACGGAAGGAACTGCAGATGGAAGAGAAGATTGGTTTGCAAGATTGTTTTATTTTTGGAAAAGTGATTACATGTACTGAATGTGTTGAGCAGGGTTTTTCGCGGAGGAATGCGACAATTGACCGCTGCATTGAAATCAGCGTACTAAGGTACCTACACCTACTAGCTAGTAAGTTAGTGAAAATGCTCACAACAACGAGTGACAATCGAGTCAGCCTAGAGACTCTGGCGCAAAGATTTTCCTTTTCTCTGCATCAATTCCGGTTTATTTGGACAGACGACAAGCTCACTCTCAGGCCATCATTTTGACTGCGGGATTGTTGTGGGCACAGGAACTTACAGAAGACCAGCTAGCCCCCACTAGTAGTTGCCAGTATCTAGCCACGGGAAAGAAAACAAAAGATGTATATCCCCCAGATTGCAATCCACTTGAAGGGTGCAGCTGTTTCGATGCTAACTTGCTTGATTCGTCCTTTACTAAGTCGAGTCGAGTCGAGTCCAATCATCTCCGGTTCTTTGCAGAGGAGGCAGCCATGAAGCACGTTCGTGGATAGCGGGTCAGCTGTAGTTGATGTCATGTTGGTCTGGCTAGCCGGTTCCATCTCATCTCCACGTTGATTATTCTTAAGGGAGCGAGTGATGATAAGAAGGAAGTCAGACAATGAATCATAGCAAAGGTGACTCAAGCAACTAGCTAGTATGCATAGATTTTACTGAGAGAGCTCACAAACCGCCAAATCACCACCCAAACACATGTCAGGAATCGGAAGTGGTTGTTCCGTTGGCTGCCTCTATGCATACGTGATACCGGTAGTACCCAAGTACATCTGGATGTTGTCTTGCAGTGAACTCAAGCAGAATCTCGTCCACAGTTTGTTTCTCTAACCATATGAAGGCCATTGTAAGGCGTTGTAGCCATCACATTTCCACAAAGTATCCAGACACGATGCTGTGGTATTCTTGGAGGGGGCCATCCAAAAACTGGGCCATCCCGTTGAATGCTCTTTTCGGACCTACCATGCACTTTTTCTACAAGTTCTGTCCTTACATTATGAACAACTATGTATTGACATTGACCATCTCGATGTGGTGGGTTGCTTCTTTAGCTTGCTTGTTTGTCACCGTGGACACTACGGTACCGGTAGCTGGCTGGTAGACTATGGTACGGGATTGGGTTGCTTGGATCACAATCAGTGCGTCATCCAGACAGGCTTCAGTCGCAAATTTCATGGGGAAAGCAAGGGCAATAGAAAGCTTCATTGCTTCATTGGCGTCATCCTTCGTCAGCTCTTTTGATTATCCATTAGCACGGTTTACCAACTCGGACAGCTCTCGGACCGGCTTCAACCGTAGAATTTAGTATAGACTACCAGATACCGGTACTGACTGCTTCATTACTAGTACTGTTTACCACCTCTTACAACCGTTCGGACCAGCATTTTGTGAGGAGTGCTGGGGCAATAGAACACTTCACATGCGTCAGAACATCACTCCCCGTACGGAACAGGCTTGCCGACAAAAGAAGACATTGACTTCGTTCACTGTAGAAGGATGTGGACAGATTGAGACATTGAACTGGCAAGAGATCTCAAAACATTGCACCTGCCAAAACCCTGCTGGAGCACGCTTTTCAACACTCGATTCCTTGTTCTTTCCAAACCCAGCTTTTCAGCACTCGCTGCCCTCGTATCGTACAATGTCAAACCCAAGCAAAGGAGGCACATCTGGTGGTGCTGGCGGAAGAGATCAGATGAGGACTGTACCTGCGCAGATGATGAGGAGTAGTTACATTCGAAGAGGATCCAGCAATGGCCATGGTAACAGCAGCAGGTTCCATGGTGAAGCTGTAGAGAACAACATGACGGCGGAAAGGCTACGGCTCATTGTTCAAGAGGTGCTGGAAATGCTATCGGATGAAGATGATTTTGAACTGTGATGGACATGCATGACATTCGAGGGATCAGCAACTGTGCAATCTTCTATTTTGTTTCGATTGATCATTGCTTCAGCGATGCGCTCCAAGAAACGAATTCCTTCATTCCTGCCGTACTCGGCGAAGGCGTCTACTACTTGTACTAGCAAAGAGTGAGCAATACATATGAAGATAGTAAAGGTCAACCTATAGCAGCTAGTTGATACTACAGTACATACGCCGTTATCAATCATGCTATCCTCATTGGCTCCTTTTGACTCTGGTGATGGGCGACACCCCCACAATGAAAGAGTTGGCCCATAACGGCGACGATGGCGACCGCGACGATGGCAGCAGGCGGATTCCTCGTGACGATGACCCGAGAAGAGCAGCAGCAGGGACGGAGGGCTAAAAAAAACAACTCGAGGACTGTCGGCCACTCGCAAAGACTGAGCATGAAAACTTATAACATATTGAATGGTGAAGGCCAGCAGCAACCTATACGGTAGCAGCTGGCTAGCTAGTAGCTAGTTGCAACGACGGTACTACGCCAGTAGCTATCAAATTCATCCTCATTGGCTTTAACCAGTGGTGATAGGTCCATTGGTAAGTCAAAGGTGCTTTTGGTAAACGGGATGAGAGACCTGGATCGTCCGGATCCGTCTTGGAAGGCATCCCTGATCCCCACTACTAGAATCGACAATCCAAAGGGTCTGGGAGAATGGTGTGGGAGAATGGTGGTACAGTCGTACCTGGTACCAGGTACCTGATCTGGTTGAGAACCCTTGGAAGGGTTGGGGTGTACAGTACATCGTGATTGCCGCACGATCAATCTCTGATTGCTTCACAGACAGACCCTTTCGAATTAAATTCAAATAAAATTCGAATGGTATCGAATGACTGAGTGACAGCCAGCCGGTCACTACGGTATGTGGTAGATCTTCTCACCTCCCAAGCGGTTCATGAGATATCTAGTCGACTAGCTCCTGCAAGCACAACATCTGCGAGGAGTGGAGAGTCCGAGGATGTTGCTGTGTTGGTCTGTGTCTTGCTAGCTGGTGCGAGATGTTTTGCAAGGGAGTGATGATCAGAAAGTGGCTGTTCCGTTTCGTGTGTGTTTCGGCACTGGTGTTGTCTTTGAGGAGTGAATTCCAGCAGAATTTGATGGCGCTTCAGTCCATCTCTGGTATTACCGGTATGGACTCGGAAACCATGTTGTTTTCTCCTTCGAGTAATACAAAGAACAACAATACTATTATCCTGTACTGGACACCCCCCGTTCGTCCGTACGACGATGATTGGAAACCTGTCAAGATGGACATGAAGAAAATTCGGAAAAAGATTCGTAAGAAGCATCGAGCTCCCAAGACCAAAGTCAAGAAACCCTGGGCGAATGTGGACTTGTATCGACTACGTCATTTACAGGAACAAGCAGAAGAAGAAAAACAACGAGCCAAAAACTGGAGAAATTTTTGGAAGCAACAGAAAGAACAACTCATTCAACGACATGAAACAATCTTAGTACAGCAAGCACAAATGCAGGCACAACAAGCTAATCAACAAATCCAAGCCAAGAATGCAAATGTCACACAAGACGTCACTTGGATATCAAACGACGTCAATGCCACAGACTCAAATCTATCAGGAAATAATGAAACACAACAACTGGATTCCGAAGAGGAAGATGAAGATGACCCAGACGACAACCAATCAGCTCAAGAAAATATCACCTGACCTTGACAATCAGCATGTTGTTCCCTGCAATCAGCAAAGTTGTTTTGTACTTGCCAGAACGTCCATCACTGCGTCGACACTTACCACCTGTCCAAGAGGGCGACAAGAACACAACAATTCCTGCTTTATGGGCCACAAACAAATATCATCACGATTTTTGCCCATCCATGGAGTGGCAATTCCCACGATACGGTAGTCCCCACGGTACAGTAGACCGCGGAGCGCGGAATAATACAGCACTCTGCCCGAAGATTCGATTCGGTGATGGATAATGCATCCGTGACGGACGCAGCTTTGACCCAGCACGAACTCAACGTTCACGGTTTTTATCATGTTGGCTCCAAATACGAGGTCAATGGCGACAACAATCTTCTTTGCCCAGATTTGCTTGGTGGGGGCGACCTCGGTGCATTAGATTCATTCATTCAGGGTCTTGCGTCCAAGCGTCGCTGCAGCTTTCACTGTGCGAGAGGGATGCTGCCACTTGCAAGTGTACTAGTACCCTACCGCACCTCCGCGATGGAACCCCCCCCCCCCCGCTTGCACGCCACACAATTCACGATTGCGGTAATAGGTTGCACGCTGTATCCACCACCAAAGTCTCGGTTCCTATTGTTTTCAAAGTGTTGGTTACATACTGTACAATGCATGCAGAACAGAGCAATGGCGAAAGAGAAACTTCGGGCACCGACAAAATTAGCACACCGCTGGCACTACGGTTGTAGATAAGTGATTACAGTAGCTACTGCCGCCAAACCTATCATGATACTACAATTGTTACTCTACCGTATCCAATTCATCCATCCAATCCGCCAACGGTGCCACTACGGCACATACTACTAAGTGAGAACAGTAGAGCCAACAAACCTCCATTCATCTTCAATTTACGCTATGTAGTAGTACCGGTATCCATCCAACCCAATCCAAATATCAATCATCATTCAATCGTTCCTCTAAATCCGTCACGGCTTCCAGTGTCAGCACGAGTTTTTCATGTTTGAGTACATCGTAGACATTGATATTTCGCAACTGATTTCCGACGTTCAATTTGTGTAGATTGGCCGATGCAACACGTAGATTGATGGGCACTCCTTGATAGGACGTGGCCACAAATTCATTTTCCTGCGTGTTTTCGTCAGAGGGATGATAGGAATCAATCATCAAGGCAGTCGTTCCGTGTCGTCCGGCAATTCCAAAGGGCTGAAGGCATTCGGCAAGATATTTGGTTTTGTGGGTGGGTAGCGTATGAAATTGATTGACGAGAATCAAATTTCCTTCCTTGAGTTTTTGCGACAATACGTTTTGAATGGCTTTTCGTCGGACTTTCTTGTTGAGTTTGGTATTTCCGTAATTGGTCATGTTGGTAGGACCATGTGCCTTGGCACCTCCTCGCATATGCGGTGCCTTTTTGTGTCCCTGTCGCGCCATGCCTTGTCCCTTTTGCGGTCGGATTTTGCGTCCACTGCCACGAATGTCTCCAATTTTCTTGGTATGTGCTTTGCGTCGACCGCGTTTTTTGGACCGATGATAATCCACGGCTCGTTTCAGTAAATCAATACGAATGGGATCCACGCCAAAAACCGTAGGATTCAACCACAGGGTTCCGACTTGTTCGGGTTCTTCCAACTGTTGGGTAGCATCGTCGTCATTTTCATTATTGTCAGTTTCATGATCAGGTAGACCAAAATTGTAGACTGGTACCTGAAGACGGTCTGGTAGAGGAATCACACGAGTGGGAGTGGCTGGTTCAAAAAACCAATCGTCCAATTCGTCTTCTTCTTCATAGTCGTCATCTTGATCACTGTCTTCTTCTTGGGCTGCTGCTTTATCCGCTTCGTCATCCGTCAAGTCATCATCAGTATCATCATCATCAATATCCAAATCCATGGTAGCTCGTTTGGGCGCAAAAGACGAACGAGGATCCACTTTCAAATTCGACGGAAATGCTACCTTGGCTGGAGCGTTGCTCGAAAAGAAACAGTACAAAGCAGTACTACTGGTAGCAGGACTTGTGGTAGAAAGATCGGATAGGGATCCCCCTGCTATTGCCAGCTGCCGAAGCAGGCGAGCAGATGATGCACTGACCAATGTTGTCGAACGTAACATTGGATAGGTATCTATCTATACAGCAAATATCAATAGCTATGGAAGGGGTATGAAAGGTTACCACCGCACAGCAGATCTCTGAGTTTGATGATCGAGGGTCGATGGGGGACAGGATGGAGGATCATCCAAAATCCAATGCCTCGAAAAGGTTATGGTACCAGCTCCTACTTAGAGCTAGGGATAACGGGCTTGGCGGGCTCGTCGGCAAAACCACAAACAGGAAGCCATGGAACGTGGTCATGATGAGAACGTTCTACATGTATGTAGGCAAATCCATGGCAGCAGCTAGTGATCGATGCATGGGTACGGCGAACTTGCTGCTGGAGGTCGCAAATAGGCTGCTTCCTTCAGCATGTGCATTATCGATCAATTGAACATCGTTATAATACATGTTAGAACGTGGGTTTTTAAAATTAATCCAAAGGACAGCCGCGTTAACAACACAGCAACCACAATCACACCATGCATACTTGTGCTGTCACTAATGATACTAAAGGTACTGGAGAGTGTCCTCTTCTGTTTGCTGACGATTTGGTGTGGAGTGGCCAGATTCTACCCTTTGTTGGTGTTGGACAGTATGCCTTTGTAGGAGCCGTCAACAAGAAGATGAATCGAGTCTACAAAGACTACTGCAAAATGGAACTAAAGAATAAGCCAAGAAAGATAAAGGATAGTAGCCCAGATTCTCACAGTCACTCTGCAGCAAAAAGCACCCATACTCTTTACAGCGAAACATTCTGCAACCAGCTGCGTGCAGAATACTGGCTCGGGGACAATTCCAGCCACAAAAGGCCCCATCGCATGCATGTTTGCAATGTAATTGCCACAGTTGGAAATGTTACTGTCATGCAGTGGGCACGCCAACAAGGATTTGCATGGAATCAACAAACATGTTCCTCTGCTGCTAAAAGTGGACATTTGGAAATGCTCCAATGGTTAAGAGAGGATGACTGTCCATGGAGTAGATGGACATGTGCATGTGCTGCCTCTGGTGAACATTTCGAACTTCTAAAGTGGTTGCATGCAAATGGTTGTCCATGGGATGCATATACATGCTTCCATGCTGCCTCCGGTGGTCATTTGGAAATTCTAAAGTGGGCTCGTGCAAATGGTTGTCCATGGGATGAGTTGACATGTCACTATGCTGCTAGAAATGGTCATTTGGAAGTCTTGCAGTGGGCACTTGAAAATGGTTGCCCATGTAATGAGTTGACATGTGCTGGAGCTGCTGCAGGTGGCCAATTGGAGATTCTAAAGTGGGCTCGTGAAAATGGGTTGGCATGGTGTACACGGACATGTGAACGTGCTTCTCATTGGGGTCACTTTCATATACTCAAGTGGGCTCATGAAAATGGTTGCCCATGGGATGAGTCAACATGTTTTGGAGCTGCTGTAGCTGGCGATTTGGAAATGTTGAAGTGGGCTCGTGAAAATGGTTGTCCATGGGATGATCGGACATGTGACAATGCTGCCCTATATGGTCACCTTGATGTGCTCAAGTGGGCTCGTGAAAATGGTTGTCCATGGAGTGATCGGACATGTAGTGGAGCTGCTATATATGGACGTTTGGAAATCTTAAAGTGGGCTCATGAAAATCATTGTCCTTGGGATGAAATTACATTTCTAGCTGCCAGAGCAAGTCGAAGGAACACAAACAAACGGGAAATGATCCAGTGGCTGTGCGACAATGGCTGCCCCGGGTCTCGTGATCAAGGACACTAATAAGATATCAATATCATTCGTGCTAAGCTCAAGAGTTCCTGGCAACATGTGAAAATCCCTAATAGCTGGCTAGCCAGCTATCCCCATCACCTCTTTTGGTACGGTACAGTTTGAGGCTGGGGGTACATACCGTAGGGTACAGTGTACAGTATCAACATTATGACAAAGCTAGAAAGGAGTTGATTGCAACCAAAGACAAGGCCGTGCAGATTACCCCCCTTGAAATCTACAGTACTGTAGAACTGAATAATGTGGAGGTGAGCGAAACCCAGTGCCTCCTCGTCCCAGTGCCAACAAAGCATTACGATAGGGCATTGATATTTCGTAATACTAGCTAGTAGGCTGGATCAAGTTACACGTCTACATGTACTACGACTTCTTAGCCTCCTGCAGGTTGACAGACAGCGAGCAGGAGATCGACTCTTCACAGCACAGTCAGCACACCAGAACTCTTCTTTGCCTTTAGAAGCCTGCCTTGGCTTCCGCACTAGTACTAATACCGTAAATAGCGCCCCTGCCCGTGTTGGAACAAGTTGACCTCCAGAAAAGTGCAGCCGTAACATTGCCGCCCTTACCGAACCGCACCGCACCGGTCCGTACCGGTACAGTACCATAACAGCTTTGTCAGCTTTTACGAAAGCAAACAACACCAAACATCGAAGAAGACCAAACCACAACAGGCAACATGGCTCCATCAAAAAGACAAAGAGCTGTCCACGAGGCTGACGAGGAAGACGAAGAAGAAGAAGAAGAATGGGAAGAACAAGACGAGGATGAGGATGATGAGGACTTTGATGATGACAGCGAAGAGAGCGACGGGGACAATGAAGCCGTATTGCAGCGCAGTCTGTTGTGGTTGTGTCAAGAAGGTCAGATCCAGTTGGCGCATCGTCGCTTCGATCATTTGATGGCTGACAAAGAACAACAACTGCAATTGCAACGAGAAGTATTTCAAGTGAGTCGCGACAAGACAACGGCGTTGACAGAGATATTAATGGGTGGAACCAGCGATCGCAACGCGTTTGTCTTGACCACCAAGTTGCTCGCCTTTTCGTCACGACAGTATCCCCAAAAACTGCGTCACATTCTTTCACTCCAACCCCACGCCGCCAATTCCCGTACGGCATTGCATTGGGCTTGTTGGGGAAATGCAAGGATGGAAATTTTGAAGCCACTGGTGGAATCCTTCCCGGAAGCCTTATTGCTCCGCGATGCTCCTCGCAGTGGCAAACGAACACCCGCCGAAATGTTTCAACACTATCACGGATCTTCCACCGAGACGGCGCAAGATGATTGGCAAGTGGATGATGTGAATGGCACAGCAGCAGCAACAATCCGACATACCAACAGTCAAGATCGACTCCAATTCCTACAGCATCAAACCAAACGATGGATTCAACACAGACTGCGAAATGCCATTTATCTCTCCATGCTACACTATTTTCATGACAACAACAACAATACTAATAAGGATTCATTGACGCCCTTTGACGAAACGGATCGCAAACAAAGAGCCAACAAAATGAGACCCAAACAGTGGTTCATACTCAGTGTCTTGGGCAGCTTGGTACAACGAGAAATGAAACCATTGGCGTGGCACATTCTCGGTTTTGTAGGGGGCACCGCCAGGGCTAGTGCTATTACCAAACGGAAACGAAAGGCTGTCTCCTCAAAACAACCACAACAACAACAATCCACTGCTACGAACCACAACAAAAAGTCTGTATCCACTGCTGCTGCATCCAGAAGAAAGAAACAGCGCGACTGACTCCATAATAAGAGTGATTTGGCCTCCAAGATGGCCGTTGCTATATTATCTGCATGGTGGGGTTGCTTCATCGTTTGGGGATGGGTGCAATTCTTTAGTTTCTTTGTGGTTCTCTTTCGGTTACTTGTTGGTGGTGGACGTGCCTTTGCCATGGTGTGGAGACTGCTTGCAGTTGCTGGCTGGAGATGGATCATTTATTTTTAGGAGCAGGCGCATGGCCCGAAGTGAGCAGGTCCAGGAGCTAGCTGTCGGTGGGACCCATAATGGATCTAGGTTTGGTGACGCTAGTAGTTGTCCGGCCGCGAAATTTTTTGCCGGTGCTGTCCCAACGATTATGAGCGCACAGACTTGAATGCACAGGGGCAAGACGTCTCGGCAAGCATCCCGAGAAGAACCGTCCATCCCACCAAAAGAGCTTCAAGACACGAATCCAAACTCCACTCGATTATAATAGCAAGATGCGAGGCATGTATTGGCTCTCGCTCGCTGGGAATGAATCTGTCGCCCATTCAAGGCGCACAAGATACTCTTGAATGAACACATGAGGGCCTGGGTACTTTTGATCCTGACTGGTAGCCTTGTTATGTTGTTTATTGCTATTCTTCGCTTTGATTTGATGTTCTGCATAATTTCATCCCCTCTATATCGTGTCTCAATATATTAGTTTGCTGTAGTCCTTCCCTTGCTCGATTCCCGTTGCTACAGCTACCATGTATGTGTCCCCGAAGCCTCTCGCTGGGAATGGGAAGGACCTATCTCTCCCGCTCACTTAGTAATATCCGTCACGTCGCTCTCGCATATTGTTGTGATGGTTGTTGGCTCCGTCGCCGAGCCGTTGACCGTGACCTGGAAATTGCATTCCATGCATTCCAGGCATTCCGGGGCCAAACGGACCAAAGTCGGGAGGAGGAGGAGGGAAAGGAGGAGGGAATCCTCCAAACCCACCCGGAGCGCCAAAATGAGGGGCAACATTGGGAGGAGGCGGAGGAACCGGAGGGAACCCTCCAAATGCACCAGGGCCGCCAAAACCCGGCATCATGCCTTGTCCAAATGGACCAAAGTCGGGAGGAGGTGGAGGAGGCGGAGGCAGGGGAGGAGGGAACCCTCCAAATGCACCCGGGCCGCCGAAATCAGGCATCATGCCCTGCCCAAATGGACCAAAGTCGGGAGGCGGAGGCAGCAGTGGGGGAAGAGGAGGAAGAGGAGGAATAGGAGGAAATCCACCAAACTGAGGACCAACCATCATTCCTTGCCCAAAGGCGGGAGGCGCGCCAGCAACACGTGGATTGTGATTCCCGATATTGTTGTGATTGATGGGAGCCCGTTCGTGAGTCTGCAGCAAACCGTGTACATGAGACCCACAGTTGCATTCTTTGAACCCATTTTTTTGCGCCGTTCCTTTGAGACAACCGCCACATCGATAGCAAAAGACGAGATTGCAGCGACAATGCATGGCATCGCAGCCATTGGCCTTTTCCACCCAGAATTGGCATTTGGGACACTGCTTGAGTTTTTGTTGAGATGCGAATTTTTGAAACTCATCATCGTCATCGTCATCAGTGCCAGTTGCCTTTTGCTGAAGCTGAAATTCTTCACAGGAGACACCCGCATGCCACGGACCCGCCTTGCAGACCAGGCAGTACGTCTGATGGCAGAGCGGACAGTCCAATTTTCGATCATTCTCGTCAAATTCAAACTGAAACGAACAACCAGCCGTAGGACAACATCCCAAATTGTCATTTTGATCCACGGCGCGGCTCAGACTCAACCGTAGATAGCGCTCTTGATCTTCTTCGCCAGACAAACACGCCAAAATATCTCCCTGGGTCAATGGCGCGTTGCATTTTTTGTGTTTGCTGTCTTTGGATACAAAAGGACAAACCATTTGCGTCGCCAGCACTTCTCCGTCTTTGGCCTTTTGCTGCACGTACTGGACAAAACAGTCCTGACAGCAGGACACGTGGCCACAGCCTCTCAAGCAGACTCCTTCGTCACGAGAGTAGTCGCAGTAGCAGATGGAACAGTCGCCTCCTTTTCGAGGGCGACGAAAACTGTAGGCATTGCCACTCTTGGGAGCAGCAGCACTAGCAGACGCAACAGGAGCACCATAAGCGACTTCGTCGTCGCTGTCCAAAATCTCAATTACTTCATCCTTCTTATTGGACTTGGCCATGGCGCCTGCTCAAGATCTATCTTCTGATATCTTGTGTTGTGACATGGCGGCGTGATTTTTTGTGTTCGATTGTCGGCATCAATTTTGCAACAATTCGTCGATGATCGAATCGAATTTCGTCTCTATGAGACGACGCACCTTTTGGTTACCCCCTCAGTTGCACTCTGAAATCGATTGGCTCGCGTTTACTGTGTAAATTAGTGTACCCGCACTTCAGTTGCAGAATCAACGGTCATGTGTATCGTTAAGTACCAAGTTCCCTTTCGAAAGATTTAGATCAATTCGTGGATAAAAGAACCGTTGAAGTTACTAAGGTTAAAGATAAACTGATTGAGTACAGTCGTACCGATGGTCCCTCAGTCGAGCGAAAGTCCATTATTGAAGGCGCTGCACTGACTTCTCTCCCTCATTGAATTCGTATGGTAAACAGGAGGTAAATCCAAGCTTGGCCGACAACAATGCATGGTGAGTGCTTTTCCAATCGGCCTCAGTTGAATCGATCGATCGAACGACAGGTACGGTACGAGGTAAGCCTATTATCAAGAGTGTTAATTGAAGGTACAGCGCTGACTTCTCTCCCTCATTGAATTCCTATGGTAAACAGGAGATAAATCCGAGCTTGACCGTCAACAGGTGAGTTGTTCTAATTATTCGAATCAATCGATCGCACCTCTGATTCTCTGTTATCCAAGCCTCACTCAAGCCGGTCGTCTCCGGTGTAGAAGCGAAAGCCATCCCTCATTCAATCCTATGGACCGCGGGAAGGCAGTCAGTTCTCGGCCCATGACGGCCAAGTTGGTGCAATTTGAAAAGCAAGGGTAAGTCGCTGGTTTTCTTCAGTTCAGCACAGAAAGCAAAACTCATATCTATTTGTTGTTTTCTCTGCTGCACTGCCGACGGCCGGCGAACTATCATTGTTGAGTCCTTTTCGAACGATCGATCCCTCCGGATGGATTTCCCGTTGTCGAGTACGGTACTTTTCAAACGAACGATTGTCAGCTACAAGAGGAAGAGGCTACCGCGACAGAGGAAACTGTTAACCAGCCCTACCAACAGCATGATCGGAATCGTCGTCAAGTCATTGAATGGCAACAGTCGTCAACCGGAGGAGGAGGCCATACGACACACGACAACACACAAGAGAGTGGATCCTCCTACCGGATTCATCCCTTCTTATTATTTCCTACTGTTTTGGTGGTGATTCCTGTGTTGGTACCCATTTTCCTGTATGTGCAAGTCAAGTACTGTTGCCACTAGCTATACGGCAGCTGGCTACAATGGCTGGATTGACAATATTCGGTTGTGCTTGTATTCGTCATAAGGATCCAATGCGAGGTAACCGACTGCAGTGAGCAAAGTCGAACCTGAGTGTGTTCGGTACTGTTGCCACTGTCACCGATCGATGAACTCTACGATAGCTGGCTACGATGGCTGGATTGACAATGTTCGGTTGTGCATGTATTCGTCATAAGGATCCAATGCAAGGTACCGGTAACGAAGTGTAGCCAGTAGAGCGGAACCTGAGTGTGTTTGGTACTGTTGCCACTGCCATGGATCGATGTAACTCTATGGTAGCCTGCTACATGGCTGGATTAACAATATTCGGTTTTGTGCATGTATTCGTCATAAGAATCCAATGCGAGGTAACCGAGTGCAGCGAGCAAAGCCGAACCTGAGTGTGTTCGGTACTGTTGCCACTGTCACCGATTGATGTAACTCTACGGTAACTGGCTACAATGGCTGGATTGACAATATTCGGTTGTGCATTTATTCATCATAAGGATCCAATGCGAAGTACCGGTAACCGTAGCGAGCAAAGCCGAACTTTCGGTACTGTTGCCATTGTCATCGATGTAGCTATACCGCAGCCGGCTACAATGGCTGGATTCATAATGTTCGGTTGTGCATGTATTCGTCATAAGGATCCAATGCAAGATACCAGCAACGGAGTGTAGCCAGCAAAGCGGAACCTGAGTGTGTTCGGTACTGTTGGACACTGTCGCCGATGTAACTGTACGGTAGCCTGCTACAATGGCTGGATTAACAATATCGGTTTTGTGCATGTATTCGTCATAAGAATCCAATGCGAGGTAACCGAGATGCAGCGAGCAAAGCGAACTGAGTGTGTCGGTACTGTTGCCACTGTACCAATCGATGCATGAACTCTACGGTAGCTAGCTACGATGGCTGGATTGACAATGTTCGGTTGTGCATGTATTCGTCATAAGGATCCAATGCAAGGTACCAGTAATGGAGTGTAGCAAGTAAAGTCGAACCTGAGTGTGTTCGGTACTGTTGCCACTGTCACCGATCGATGAACTCTACGATAGCTGGCTACAATGGCTGGATTGACAATATTCGGTTGTGCATGTATTCATCATAAGGATCCAATGCAAAGTACTGGTAACGAAGTGTAGCGAGCAAAGCTGAACCTGAGTGTGTTCGGTACTGTTGCCACTGTCACCGATCGATGAACTCTACGATAGCCGGCTGCAATTGCTGGATTGACTGGTACCAGGTACCGTATTCATCATAAGGATCCAAACTGAGGCAAGGGATACAGGAGACGAGCGCTGAAAAAAACCGAATCGAATGACATCATCGTTTGAGTGACAGTTTTTATCAATTGCAGCAAAAAGTGAGTATTCTAAATATAATTTACTGGGATTGACAGAGACAACCCATCAAGCCACAGTTCTGTTGCCTCGTGCCTTTGAGGAACAATTCCAAGTCATGGCTGCCTTGTGCTGTTCCACAACAGCGGGTGGGTTTGAGGTTGGTTTTGAGACCAACTGGTAGTGCAGATATGATGGAAGAGCTAGAATTGGATGTAATGTGGTGGTTGAGTTGTCGTGTTGTTGTTTTTGTTGGTTGATGAAATCTTCTTTGAGGCGGACTGTGGTAGCAAAACGTTTGAGGCCTTTGAAGGCATCTGTAGCTACGACATCAAAAGGAGGGTGGGGGACAAACTTTTGGCTGGTTCCTGTCACTATTCGGTGTACCTCATCCGTAAGGGAGAGATTTGTAGGTTCTGGGTGTATTGGAGTAGTGACAATGTCGGTTGTGCCCATCGCATTATCGTGAGGTGGTGTGGTGTGTGTGAAGCCAGGGTTGTTGTGTTCTTCGAAACTAAAGTCGGAGATTGTGGAAATGCTGAAGGTGTCTTGCAAAGAATGATCGTCAGTCATCATTGTAGTGGAAACCAATGTGTCTAGGCTGCTCATGGAGATGTCATCCAAAGGGACGATATCTGTTGGAGTAGGCACATAGATGGTTTGGCACGGAACTTCCCAATGATAGTTGGTTCGAGTTAGGGGATGCTCGAGTTGTCCTGCTATCCAATGGTAGTTGGTAGCTCGAAGAATTTTTCGGTGACAGCAGGGTTCTGGTTGTGGCGAGCTCTGTGGATCGTTGATTTATGATTGTGTTGAGTCTCTCCAGTCAGGTGTTGTTGTTGTGTCTGGTTGTAGGAGTCTGTGTGAAAGGTGGCCAGGGGAAAGGTATCAATACTAGAAGTATCCTCGAAGTTGAGTGGCGTCATGGTTTGGGTCGAGTTTCTATCAATTGTGGGGACTCCACGGTATCTCTGAAGATGGGTTTCTGTACCAACGGGTTTAGTTGTTGGTGATGTTTGGACACCTATTGTATTTCCTGTTGTGGGTGGAT